GAGAAGGCTACAATGTGTTAGGAAGGCTACATTCATTTTGGAGGTTCTGGGGAGAATCCATTTCCTTGCCTTTTCCAGCTGCCTGTCTTCAAAGCCAGCAGCACTGCACCTTCTCTCCTGCCTGGCCTCCGCTTCTGTTGTGCACCCTCGCATGCTCTCCCTGACTAACCACTGCCTCCCTCCCCTTTGTCATCACAACGTGGTCACTGGGACACTCTTCCCATCTGAAAATCATTCATCTAATCATATCTGCAAAATAACTTGTCATACAAGGTATTTTTGTTTGTTTGTTTTTAAAATAAGTTTCTGGGATTAGGATGAGAACAACCTTCGGAAGGAGGCACTATTCCATTATTCTTACCGCATGCCCCATAATAATTATTTGAGTTACAGTCCACTATAACAAATTCTACTTTCATTATTTATAATTCTATTTAAGATTGTATTTGTAAAATCTAATTGGCAAATAACTTTTCTGGGACATAATGTTTAGACATTAAATCACGTAATATCCTACAAATTTTTATCAATGAGCAGGGACCTTCTTTTTACCCATGAGAATAGGTCAAAAGATTTCAGCCAGGTGCCGGAAACAGAGCCATTTGCCTAATTCTGCGTCCAGGATCACTCACGTGCTGCACCGGTCCCAGTGCAGAGGGGATCAAAATGCCCCTGCTTTTCCCCCATTCGTTGTATTTGTGATAACCTGAAGACTGATCAATTTTTGTTTCTCTCGACCTGCAATTTTTAACCAATGGGCACTGGTGCGTCACAAAATATTTTAACACGCAATGCCTGACTATTTAGTCAGGGGCACTGACCTCTTTCCCCTTAAATGTCAAGTAAAAACATGACAACAGCCAACACAATAGCTGTCTGGTGTGAATGAATCAAAAGTATACTCTTTTTTTGGTCACGTTGGCAAAAAATAAATCCTGTGGTCGCAGAATATCAATAATTAGTTTATGTGCACCATGAGATGAAGAGTGGCAAAATCACTGCTCTACACATAAAGGAAAAGCTTAATCACAATAATATGAGAGTTGATATATAGATTCCTGAGCATAGCAAATAAAAGAAAGGAGAAACACTTTTAACACTTCAGTAGAAACTAGACATGAATGTGATAATCTAGGGTTTTTAAAATGTATTATATGAAGAAAAAATATGGAAAGGAAACATATATATCCTACTACATCTGATTATCAGTGTTCAATTGCTATTGTCTTAAGTCCATTTGGGCTGTTAAAACAAAACAAAACAAGAAAACCACAGACTGGGTGGCTTCTAAACAAGAGAAATTTACTGCCCACAGTTCTGGATGCTGGAAGCCCAAGATCAGGTGCCTGCACTGCTGGGCGAGGGCTTCCCGCGGAGGTGCAGACTCCTTGTGGTGGACGGGCCAGGGAGCCCTGCGGGCTCTCTCGGAAGACCCTTAATCCCACTCACGAGGCCCCACCCTCACCATCCAAAGGCCTCACTTTCTCACACCATCACCTTTGGGGTGAGGATTTCAACATATCAATCTGGGCGAGGACACAAACATTCAGACCACAGCAACTGTCAATGTATACAATGTTTTCACATGTTAACTACGTGGTTTCCAGTTTGAGTCTTAAAAAACAATTGAACAAATGTCTTTGTAAAAATGTAGTTGAAGCCAAAACTCCTTTAAAAAGAAATGGTTAGCCCTGGCCGGTTTGGCTCAGCGGTTAGAGCATCGGCCTGCGGTCAGAGAGACCCGGGTTCGGTTCCCGCTAAGGGCATGTACTTCGGTTGCAGTTTGTCCCCGGCCCTGGTCGGTTGTGCGGGTGGCAGCCACTCGATGTGTTCCTATCACATCGATGTTTCTCTCTCTCTCTCTCTCTGTTCCTCTCTCTCCCTCCCACTCTACCTGAACAAAAAATGGAAGGATGTCCTCGGGTGAGGATAAAACAAACAAACAAACAAACAAACAAAACAAAAAGAAATGGTTAAATGTGTCGGAACAAGAAAACATATACATATATATGTGTATACATACATATTTAACTTTTTTTTCTAATGATAAAAGGTATTTATGTGCCTTCTAGAAAATTTGGGAAATTCATAAAGCAAAAATTCAAAAAGAAAAATAAGTCCCAGAATCCCACCACCCAGAGATAAACATTTTAACATTTTGCATTCTTTCTTTCCAGGATCATTTCTGGAAAGCCAATTTCTATACAGACAAACTATACAGCAGGCATATTATGTGGCTGATAAAATGTAAGGTCCCGTTTGCTCATGTAATCATTCACCCATTAATATTTTTCACCAGATGTGCTATAACAGGCTATTCATCCGTTTATTAGCAAGGTACACGACCAGTCTCAGTGGTTGCTCAAAGGTTAATAAGATATGGATCACTATACTCCAGTAGAAGTGTATTTATTCAGTATTCTTTGGGATATATGTAACAAAAGACCAACTCAAAGGTACTGGTGCACATAAACAAGAACCGTTGTAACCTGTTTCTACATACGGGCTCCACTTGTCTCTCTTATTTCTCAGTTCTGCTGGCCTCTGTCCGACTTCTTCTTAAAACAGGTTTTCTCCATGTGTGGCAAGAGGGCCCCGAGAGTTCCAGACTTGCACGGTCCCTCGGGTTTATAATCCTGGAGAAGGAAAGACCTATTCCCTCCCAGAGTTCACACGTCAAGACTGATGGAAGAATGCTGTTTGGCCCTGCCTGGGTGAACAGTCAATGAGGAGAGAGGGATGGGTGTCATAATTGGTAAGGCCTGGGCATAGCCTTGTCTATTGTTAACAGTGACACGAGAATCATGTGGGGTCAGAAAAGGGCATTTCTCCAAGAGAAGGCATTGGTCAAAGACAAAGCAACAGATGTCCAATAAAGAGAAGCTGTGTAGTAAATACTAGAAAACCAGGTTATATTCAGACAGAGCATCCCGGTTAACATGCTGACTCAAACTGATTCTTTTACAGAGCAGACTGTACAACATTACCCGAATCTCTTCTTAAATTTAAGAATTTTTTTTTTTCTCCTGAATGCATGAAACCAAGGTACCTTCCGTGTTTTAAGTTTCTTACTAAAAACAAAGTTGTAAAGTAAATCTATTTTCTGATAGTACGTACGTAGGAGTGGGGATGGGTCATACACTTTGGATTAACTTTAACAAGAGGCAAATGCTGCAGTGTTGAAACTGCAACATCCTAGTGAAAGTAGAAAGAACAGTGGGAACTCTACAAAAGTGGAAGGAAAACCAGGGCAAGGTGACAAGCGGCAACCTCAGGCTGGCAAGCCGACCTGGCCGACCCGGGCAGTTTCATGGAAAGCCTTGCCAAAAAAGGGAAGAAAATGTTTTCATAGCTATTGTGTCCAGAACATTAGGTGCTTTCGTTTTGATCACTGAACACAAAGTAATGGTTATTTCCAACCTAAAGGTACAGAATCTGAAGCTCAGGACTATTTGTCTCACCCAAAGCCCACCTGAAGCCAAAGTCCATTCTTCTACAACCAAGCTGCCTCTCAGGAAAGGATAGACTGTTTCAATAAATGCCTATTTCACTTTTGAAGGGAAAGAGAAATTACTAAAGGGCACTAAAGAACCCAAGGCTTTCAATGATAAAGGAAGCCAGGAGTTCTTGTGAAACTGTACTATAAACAGGAACATATGTTGTCAAAGAACTTAAATGCCAGTATCCTGTAATCTCCTTGCTATTCTGAAAATCAATCACGGATCTAAGCCTGTGGCCATAACGTTCCTCCTACTTGACAATGCTGGTCTCCAGACCATGCTCATCCTCTCTCAGTCTTGGCTCACGTGGCTTTTTCTGCTTGTAACATGTTCCTTTCCCTCCAGATGACATCATGGCTGCTCATCACGAAGGATTTACTCCACTCACATGTCACCTCTACAAAGTGAGTTATTCCTGCAAACAGTGCCCCCATTCTCAGGTAGTTCTCAGCACGTGAATGTGTTTTGTTCGTTTGTTTCTACTGCCTGCCTCCTCCAAAGAGGATATAAATAAATTCCTTGGGGAACAGGATCTTGTGCACCCCATTTCTCCAGCCCCTGAATTATTCTTAGGACATGGGAGGGAGGCCCTCACAAATAACGCAGGAAATTGCCAGTGGCACAAGGTGAAGCGACACTGTAGCCGCGGTGGAGGAGGGGAAAAGTGGGAAAAAGACCAAAGAAACACGAGGAGCTAGTGCAGGCGGTGCAGAGCCCCGGGAGCAAACGGAAAGACGACAGTACTTTGCAAACACGAGTGCTCACGCCACGCCTGCGCCGCTCTGGGCATCTCGCGCGCATGCCCTCGGCATCAGCCCCCCCAGTGAGGTCTGTCACCCCGATTCTGCGGACGAGCAAGGTGAAGCCCGCGGGCTGGCTTGGCCAGGGTCCCGCAGTGAGCCCACGGCAGAGCCTGAGTCTGAACCCCGGGGGTCGGACCCCTGCTTTTGAACCCACGCGGCTCGACGCGGCCTCACCCAGGCTCCTCCACGCCCACAGACGTCTGTCTGTCCGGCTGAAATAAGCGGACAGACTGAAAGCACAGCAGCGCCCTCTGTTTCGGCCGGGGGTGGTCACGACACCACTGGTCACGAAGGGGGACGTCTCGGTGCCGTCGCCGTCGGTGTCCGAGGTCCCAGCCCGCTCCCCGCTGCCCGCGCTCCGCCTCCGCGCGTCGAGGCCGTTTCCGCGCCGTCGGGGCGGCCGCACCCCCCTCCTCACCTGCAGGGGGCGGGGACACCTGTCCAGCCTGCCCGCTGGAACTGAGGAGGGCGGGCGGGCGCTGCGCTGACGCTGATTTCCACCACCCGCGCTACACGCGGGGCCGCCCCGGCTCCAGGGACTCAGAGACGCCCCGCCCCCGGCGCTGGGTTCCCGCGCCACTTCCGCCCGCGCCGGCCTCGCTCTGCGCCTGCGCAGAGGCGCCGTCCAGCCCGACTTCCTCCCGTCCCGCCGCCGAGCCCTGATGACGCAGAGCGCCTGCGCCGCCAGCGAGCGGGACTGCCGTGCGGACGCGGAGACTCAGGTGCCGTTGCCCCTGCGGCTCCCCGTTCCCGTGGGTCCCGTGCCCCGGCAGCATGAAGGAGACGCCGCTTTCAAACTGCGAGCGCCGCTTCCTCCTCCGCGCCATCGAGGAGAGGAAGGTAAGCGGCCCCGGAGAACTTCGGGCCGCGTGGGCGCTCCCGTGGCCCGGCCGCGCGCAGACGGGCCCCCCGCAGGCCCCGGGAACCCCAGGGGGGCGGCCGGAGCGTCCCCCCTCCCCCACGTTTTATTTGGTTCTAATGGCTTCTTTTCAAGGCTCGAGGCACCCCAGCGACTGTCGGTGCCTGGGCTGCCAGTTTCCACTTTCCTTCGTGGGGTGGTCAGGATCCCGCTGCCCTCCAGGTGCTTAGTTAGCCCAGGGCCTGGCTCAGGGTAGCTGCTCACCGGGTATTGTGGAAGGAATAAAGCAACGAGTGTTGTGCTTACAGCGGCTGGATGGCAGACAAACCTATGATTACAGAAACATCAAGATCACATTCGGAACAGATTATGGCTGCTGTGTCGTGGAACTTGGGAAAACAAGGTAAGGAAGCCTTCAGACGAGCAGCTCTATGGGGGGTTAGTTTAAAAGAACCTAATTGATTCATTTGTGTACTGAGCAGCTAGGAAGTCTGGATTACACTTTTGTTTAGCTGCCAAAAATAAGTGTGGTTTCTTGAATGCAAAATCTTTTTTTTTGTTTATAGCCACACTTAAATTTTTTAATCATGAATATATTTTCTTCCAGAAGGCTATCGCATAGTTCTTGATTGGCCTGAATTTGTTTCCTGCACATCTTGTCACTAAGGAGGCCATACTTCCCTGTTTTCCCTGAATGACATGAGAATTAGGTTTTTAATATTCATTTGGAAGTTGTCAGGATATTGGTCAGATAACGTTGGTGAACTGTGCCATAGGAAAATTCTTAAGAAATCTCAGGTTTTCATGCTATCTTGGTATCTTGCATCAATAGCTCCTTCTTTTAGAAAAGAAAAGTTAAGGTCATTGATTTTCTTTTTTCTTTTTAAGGATCTGTAGAATAAGCTGTATTGTAAATAAGAGATGTTTTTCTTGTGTCTCTTTCAGTACATCAATATGTATTTTATTCCTGTGTATATTCTATACTTTGCATGTAATGTCATCCTCTAATGATATATCATGCTGAGTGTCTTATTTCTCAGAAGTAAAATTGAAATTTAGTGTTTGTTTTAGATATTTTTTTTATTGGAAAGGAAATATTTGGTTAACAGATTTGTACTTTGTCTTTGCAGAGTTCTTGGACAGGTTTCCTGTGAACTTGTTTCTCCAAAACTCAATAGGGCAACAGAAGGTATTCTTTTTTTTAACCTTGAACTCTCTCAGATGGCTGCCCCAGCTTTTGAACCTGGCAGGTATTTAAATCTTCTTCTTAAACTGCTTTAACCAGAGGAGAATATAGCAGCAGCGAGGTATTGTTTTAATGCCTGGTGTTATGCTTCATGACATTAGCCCATTCCTATTTTCATAGGCAGTCAGATCTCTTGGTGAAGTTGAATCGTCTCTTGGAAAGATGTCTAAGAAATTCGAAGTGTATAGACACTGAATCTCTCTGTGTTGTTGCTGGTGAAAAGGTGGGGAATATACCCAAAATTCTTAATCTTAGGATGAATATTGTTGATTCATGGGTCCTTGTATCTATACATTAATTCTCAGAGCTTCAGTTAATTCATTTTTATACTGATTCACTTCATTTCAAATGTTCCTAAGTGCCAACCATAGAACTTTGTGTCATCTCTCTCTGAAGGAACAAAAAATATTGTGAATATAGCGACTTGAATGTGTGTGATGATGTCATATTCAAAGAACTGGTTTTTCATGTATTTTCATTTTCTTATGTTATCTAAGTAAGTTGATAGAAACAGGTAATTAATGTCTTCCTTTCTTGTGGATGAAGAACTGAAGAACAGATTAAATCCTTCATCTGGATAGGTTTCTTGACTTACACAGGCCACACATTGAGTCAGTGGTAGGCTGACATTGGAAATCTTATTCTTGGTACCTTGTTCTGCGTAATGATATTAGGGTATTTTGACCATCTTTTTGACTCCAGAAAAGTCACTTAGCCTTTCCACATTCCATGCTTGAATGTGACACTTCATATTTGCATTATTTGTAAGGTTATCAGAAATATTATCAATTAAAACCTAAGAGCTTAAGGTTTTTGAGTTAGGAAACACAAAAATATAGTTAGGTTTGCAGTTAGGGAAGTCTTAGTTTTAAGTGTACAATGGTTCTGTATATTTTGAGCATATATTTTACAGTTGTTCAATGACTCATACAAGGGAGAACTATTGGTATTTCTATTGTTGGTCTGGCTTACATTTTTTCTAAATACAGTTTTACTGATAACAAGGGAAGGAGTAACGACGTTTTAACAGCAAGAGAAAATTTGGAACATAGTGTTACTTTCCCTTTTAAGTAGCCACTGGTTGTGACCAGTTAGGATTTATTTTTGTTTTAAATTCACATTCAGGTTTGGCAGATACGTGTGGACCTTCATTTATTAAACCACGATGGAAACATTATCGACGCTGCCAGCATTGCTGCAATTGTAGCCTTGTGTCACTTCCGCAGACCCGATGTGTCTGTCCAGGGAAACGAAGTAACACTGGTAAGCCCCTGAGACGTGAGCCGTGCTCCTCTCTGAGTGAATGAACACCCCCAGTGTGCGGGCAGCTTGTTGTTGGCGAAGTCTTATTGTAGATGGAATTAGGGCTATTCTAAAATTTGTTCATAGAGCAAAAACTTCATATGGTCAGATTGTCTTTGAAATCTCTTAAATCTCCAGTATGAAAGTGTCAGTAAAAGCACACCCTAGCCTGGCTTTCTGGAATAGAACTAGGTGACTTCTTCGGACTGAGCATTAGATGAAGCGGTTGTCTCACATTTAGGGGCCACGTGTGTGAAAAATAACATGATTCTCAGCTCAATGAGATGTCTGTGTTTACTCTAGCAAAGTCCATCACAAATGCCTGTGAGATTTGTTATAACTTATTGCTAGGCTCCACCCTCAGAGGAGCGTGGGGGCAGGACCTGTGATGCTGGACTTCTAACTGAGCTCTCAGGGGATACTGATGCTGCTGCTGCAAGGACCACACTTCAAAAACCATTGACCTGTGCAGTTCATGTTCTTTCGCTTATGTATTGAGTATGTCCATTTTAATTTATGTAAATTACAAGCTAGAATAATGAAAGTGCACTGTGGTGATAGTTTATTCCTGCAGTTAAACAAGGAAACATCAGAGGCCACATTCTCTAAGCAGTCATTCATGATGCTTTTAGGCATTAGACTGGAGCAGACTCATTAACGACTTAGAGGTAGGGACAAAAGATATTTAACAACAGAGACATGTACTTTTAGAAGTAAAAGAAGTAAAAACAAGTAGAAAGTAATTAATAGACTAAAAAATAAACGGTATCAATTAAAAAATACTGAAGAATTATTGCTGGTGGTGATGTCAAGTGACACAGCCACATTGGAAAAGTTTGGCATTTAAAAAAGCTAAGTGTAAACGTATATAGCCCAGAAATTCTGTGCCCAGGAATCTGTAGGAATCTGTTCAAGACTGAAAGTGTAGTGTGTGTTCACTCAGACTCCTGTGTGAATGTTCATAGCATATCTGTAATGGCCCAAACTGGCAGCAACCCAGATGTCTGTCAACTGGGAAAAGGAAAAACAACCTGCGGACTGTCTGTACCGTGTACTACAATTCACAGTAAAAAGGACCAGACCACCGATAATGCTGCGGGATGGGTGAAACATGCTAAGCTGAAAGGAGGCAGATGTGAAAGGCTAACAGTTGTTTGGCTCCCTTGCATGGAATGGCAGCAAAGGCGGGTGTGGAGCCAGAAGGAGGTCGCTGGTGCTTGGGGCTGGGAGTGAGCATCGATGGCACATAGGTTCAGGGGAAGTTGGCGGGGAGTTAATGGAAATGTTAAAAACCTGGATTGTGTCGATAGTTACATAACTATAAATATATTTAAAAAGTGCTAAGAAGTGAATCCTATACTTACAGTGAGGGGACTTAAACGGTATGTAAAATGTACCTCAATACAGCTTTTTGACAAATGCATAAAGTTTTAAGGAACAGGAATGGCAAAGGCAGATAGGTAATTGTAAAAAAAGCTATTTAGGTACTTGCTGAGGATTCAGGGAAGTTCATTTTCTGTCGGTATCTGATGTGCAGGATGGTGTTTGTATGTTCCTGACTTTATTTTCCGACAGTACACTCCAGAGGAACGGGACCCCGTCCCGCTGAGCATCCACCACATGCCCGTTTGCGTCAGTTTTGCCTTCTTCCAGCAGGGGTGAGTCTCGTCGTGGCCCTGGGCCCAGTGATCACCACAGCTGGGCACTTGTTTCATTCAAGAGTGTTTCTTTTCGTGGCGTATCATAAATGTGTGGATTTGCTGCCGCATGGTGGCGTCGTCTCTCTCCTAGAGATGGGCAGGTGCTGAGTCTCCTAGAGATGGGCAGGTGCTGAGTCTCCTAGAGATGGGCAGGTGCTGAGTCTCCTAGAGATGGGCAGGTGCTGAGGGATCGGAGGCTGGGCTCTGATTTGGGAAGTGGGGTGAGAATTGCTGAGGGCTAATGGAAGCAGGACTTTGGAGCATATTAGATGGAGTAATTCTGGGAGCAGGTCATGGGGATGGTTCTCGAATGGACGGATCTAGGCTCCGTCAGCTCCAGCAGCTTCCTCACCGCTCACTGCTCGCTCCACCCACGACAGCAAACCTGGAGGCCTGGTCACCCACTGTCTCCACATGAAAGCCTGGGCCTTACATCTTTGTAGAAACAAAACATTGTAGCAGTTTTATGAGTAAGAACCAGAGAAAAGCTTTCAACTTTCAGTCATTGTAGTGTAGAGTTTCAGTAAGAGAGAAATAGACCAGCACTGTCAAGCAGGAATACAGCGTGAACCATATCTGTAATTAAAGATTTTCCAGATATTAAAAAGGTAAAATCAGGTAAATTTAATTGTTTTCTTCTTTTTTAAATCCTCCTGAGGATATTTTTTCCATTGATTTTTAGAGAATGCAAGGGAGGGAGACGGAGAGAGAGAGAAACATCAATTGGTTGCCTTGAGCATGTGCCCCAACCTGGGCCAGGGGTTGAATCTGCAACCCACATACATGCCCTTGACTGGGAATTGAACCTGCGACCCTTTGGTCCAAGGGCCTATGCTGTAACCGCTGAGCCACATCTGACAGTATGGTAAATTTAATTTTTATATATTTTACTTAATATATCTAAGATATCTTTTTTTTTTTTTTTAATGTGTTTTTATTGACTTTTAGAGAGAGGAAGGGAGAGAGAGTGAGAGAGAAACATCAATTGGCTGCCTCCTGCACGCCTCATACTGAGGATTGAGTCCAAAACCCAGGCATGTGCCCTGGCCAGGAATCAAGCCGGGACCTCTCAGTCCATGGGACGATGCTCAATGCACTGAGCCACACTGGCCGAGTGGATAACATCTTATTTTAATATGTAATCAGTATCTTAAAAATAATTCATGAAATACTTTACACTCATGAAATAATGTATCTAAGATATCTTTAATGTGTGATCATTATCTTAATTATTTTTGGCATACTTTATTTCTACTGAATCTTCAGTATTGTACACTCAGTTTCGATTAGCCACATTTCAGGGGCTCAGTAACCACATGTGACTGGAGGCTACCATTAGACAGTGCAAAAATAGAGCATTTTTTTGTTAATCCTCACCCAAGGATATTTTTTTATTGGTTTTTAGATAGAGTGGAAGGGAAGGAGGCAGAAAGAGAGAAATATCAATGTGAGAGAGAGATTTCAATTGGTTGCCTCCCGCATGACCCCAGCTGGGGCTGGGGATTAAACTTGCAACCCAGGGACATGCTCTTGCCCAGGAATTGAACCTGTGGCCCTTTGTTCTGTGGCCAATACTCTAACCACTGAGCAAAACCGGCCAGGATGAAAAACAGTATTTTTTAAATGAGCCATTAGCAGGACCTAGAAGAACTTCAGAGTACAGGCCATTAAAGAGACTTTAGAATTAATTAAGCTAAGTTTTTGTTAATGAGCCACAAGGTATTTAATCAAAGTGATAGCATTATGTTTTTACTGTATATTATTTAAATAAAACCATTATGATCTTAATGTGATTTTACTGTGATAGCTAGAAATATATACTTGGCATTATTTTGGGTCCATAAAAAGAGAAATTCTCTCCTGGTCAGTGTTGCTCAGTGATTAGGCCATCAGCCTACGCGCTGAAGGGTTCCAGGTTTGATTTCCCATCAAGGGTGTATACCTGGGCTGCAAGTTCAATCCCTTTCTCTGGCTCTGGTCAGGGCGCGTGTGGGATGCAGCTGATCAGTATGTCTCTCTCATGTTGATGCTTCTCTCTCCCTCTCCCCTCGACCCCTAAAAATCAATGGAAAAAAATATCCTCTGGTGCCCTGGCCAGTTTGGCTCAGCGGTTGGAGCATCGGCCTGCGGACCAGAGAGTCCCGGGTTCGCTAGGGGCACATACAAAAAATATATATATATATATCCTCTGGTGAGGATTAACAAAAACAAACCAGCAAAATTCTCTTGTATCTTTTCCCATTAAAGTGACTCAAATCCACAGGCTTAGGCCTTCACTGTTGGCTTTATTAATGCCATCTTTTAAAAATACCCATTATCTCTGCATTGACCAGATTTGTTCAGGTCCATTTCACATTCATTTCAGAACGTTTTTATTGGTGGATCCCAGCGAGCGAGAAGAGCGTGTGATGGACGGCCTGCTGGTGATCGCTATGAACAAGCATCGAGAGATCTGCACCATCCAGTCCAGCGGTGGGATAATGCTGCTCAATGAGCAAGTTAGTGCTGTGCTTCATGTCCCACGAAGAATAGTCTCTTCCTTTAGAAGCTTTAGTCTTATTTTCTTAACTAAAATCCAACCACAGTATTTCCCTTCCTCCCTGCTGCTCCCAAGCGTGGCCCTCCAGAGTTTAGCCCTCCTCGGTAGAGGGATGCTCTGTACTTTCCAGTGAAGAAAGATGTTCATATTTCTATCCAAAAAAGGTGTCAAAAATAGAAAGTAGGTTGAAAGATAGCCTTGCTTTTAGAATTTGGGTATGATAGTCAGTTCTCGAATGCAGCTACATACCAGATTCACGTGGGGTTTTAGAAAACAGATCCAAGTACCATACGGTGCAAGTGCTTAAGTGCAGAGACCGCTTTAACTGGAGCTGCAGTTCTGCATCATCCTAACCAGCCTTCGGCAAATGATGTCATATCCCCGTCCTTAGTTTATCTGTAAAACAGGAAGTAATGTTACTAGCGACACCTGGAAGAATGTAGGGTGAGGAGATGTGTTGCACTGGAGCATATATTAAGTGTGTAGTAAATGTTTTTCTCAGCATCACGACCACTCCCAGATCCCTACTTCCAGGTCCCTGAAGCCCGAGGAGCTGTGCTTTCTGAAGGCTCCAGGGCACCCCACAGCCACGTGTGGGCCTGGTGCTGTGCTCACTCCACACGGACTGTGCCCTGAACACGTGTCTGGCCGTTTCACTGGTGCTGGTCACAGCGTCACAGGCACGTTTCCGGGTCTGTTCCCTTCATGTGCGCTGGTCTCGGACACTTCACACCAACTCCCACAACGTGCTGTAACTTGTGTTTGTATTATTTTCATACTTGAAAAAAGGTCAGGCTTAAATTATAAAGTTAGAAAAACTGAACTCATTCTAGGTTTTGTTAGAGAAAGCTATTTGGTTTGTTGTCTTAAAATAACAGTTCATTTTTGTAAATAGGTGTTGAGATGCAGTAAAATAGCTGGTGTGAAAGTAGCGGAAATTACAGAGCTCATACAGAAGGCTTTGGAGAATGACCGGAAAGCCAGGTAAGTCAGCACCGTTAGAGCGCGTTGGTCTCCAGCTTGTCCTGTCCGGGATCCTTCTTGCACAGGCATGACCGCACGCTTGGGCCTTTCCTTACGTGTTAGTCTCAGTTGAATATACTGGATGTTATTTGAAAGTTGATTGAACTGCTTGTTGTATTCCAATTTAAACTATCTGTATTGAAAAGCCACATAGTATTTTTCTTTAAAAAAGTTAACATTTTCTTAGGAAAAAAGAATCTAGTAACTCAGATTAACAGAAAGAACACACTGGGTTGATTCCCATCTTCTCACCACGTGACGTTAAGCAGGACCTCTAACCCAGCACTTCATTGTCCTTTGTGACACGGAAGGTTAATGCCTACCTGGTGCCGTGGTTTCAGCCCTTAGATGTGCCCAGCATAGGTTCAGTAAATGGTAATTAGAGGAGCTCTGTATTATTTCTCTTAATAGGCATACTAAATTGGTGAGGTTAAGATTGTCAAATAACTATTCCAATATTTCTCATCAAAAAGATAAAATAGTTCACTTTTTTTCCTTTTCTGTCTTCCATCTGTTATCTACCTCCCTAACCCGCCCCCCAAAAAAACCCACACAGGAAAGAAGGTGGAAAGTTTGGCTTCGCAGAGTCTATAGCAAATCAAAGGATCACAGCGTTTAAAATGGAAAAGGCCCTTGTCGATACCTCTGACGTAGAGGAGAAAGCAGAGGAAATCATTGCTGAAGCCGAGCCTCCTCCGGAAGTGTATCTTTACCGGGTGTTGTTTGTGTTCACAGTAACAAGATTCACACCACTGTGGCATTGTCAGGGCTGTGGAAGGGGTGCACTCTGACATTTGTCTCTGAGACACTGTACTTTGTTAGAGAAAACATATAAGATACAAGAGAGTGGTGAGTCAGTAAGTCAGTGATCTTGTAACATCTACCATTTCTTCAGCTATTCTACAAAACTCAAGAGAATTCTGTATTTTTTTAAAAATTGATTTTAGAGAGGAAGGGAGAGGGAGATAAAAACATCGATGAGAGAGAACATTGATTGGCCACCTCCTGCATGTGCCCTGACTGGGAATCGAACCAGTGACCTCCTGGTGCGTGGGTCAGTGGTCAACCACTGAGCCACACCAGCCAGGTGAAAATTAGCTATTTTAAGAACTGGCTTATATCGTTTAATTTTCCTTTGGAAAATTGTTCTTTTTTTAAAATCCTCACCCAAGTATATTTTTCTATTTATCTTCAGATATAGTGGGAGGGGGAGAGAGAAACGTTGACATGGGAAGGACACATCGACTGGTTGCCTCTCACACCTCAACCGGGGCCAGGGACAAACAGCAACCAAAGTACATGCCCTTGACTGGAATCGAACCCGAGACTCATTTGTCTGCGGGTCAATGCCCTAACTCAGTGGTTCTCAACTTTCCTGATGCCTGACCCTTTAATAGTTCCTCATGTTGTGGTGACCCCCAACCATAACATTATTTTCGTTGCTACTTCATAACTGTAATTTTGCTACCGTTATGTCTTCGGCGACCCCTGTGAAAGGGTCGTTTGACCCCCAGAGGGGTCGCGACCCGCAAGTTGAGAACTGCTGCTCTAACTGCTGAGCCAGACTGGCCAGGGTTGGAAAATTGTTCTTTAATATCAATGGCATGGTCAAGCACTCTAGACACTATTACACGTTCTTGAAATATTTCCTTCATTCACCAGGTTTATTACAACTAAAATGTCAGAGCCAGTCTCTTGATACTTCTCACCTTTATGTTCATAAAATCTTACCTGAGTTACATGTTTTTTCTTTGTTGTTCAGCCATCCGTAGCACAGTCGTCCCTTGCCGCTCCGCGCCTCTACATTCGCAGCTTCACTGTCGCGAAGGTCAAAGCGCGAGGCGGTGAGGGACGACTGTATATAAAGAACCCTACTTTGCGGAAATCCATTTATTGTGGTAGGGTCTGGAGCTGATTAACCGTGATAAACGAGGGCCGACTGTAGCTGTTAGTAAGTTTTTCCCTAAGAGTTCAGGCAGGCTTTTGTCTTAAAGAGCAGCACACTTTTCCTTCTCATCTTTTCAGCGCTGAATCAAATAGCAGTGTTTTCGTTACCCACTTTAACTGTTAAGTGTTTCTAATCCTGTGCTTTGGACTCCTGGAACTGCCCAAATTGGAGAAGGAATAGAAAACTCCTGGGGAGACCTTGAAGACTCTGAGAAGGAAGACGAGGACGAAGGCGGCAGCGATGAAGCCATCGTAGTGGGCAGTGTGAGAGCGGACGCTGGGATCGAGGCCTGCAGTGTGGGCAGCCAAGGTGGGTGGAGCCAAAGGTTTTTGTTACCATATGTTGTGTATAAACATGTAAGTTATATATATAGCTATACGTATATGTAACTACAGTATTCCTATTTATAGATTAAAATATCCCCAAAATAGGGATGTTTTTGTGTTAGCTGTTCCTGTTTTTAGAGAAACTACATTTCAACTAAAGTGTTAAAGCTAACTGCACTGTTAACTCCAGATCTCTTCTAAAAGAATATGCTTGTTTGTGGACTAGTGATAGCTCTTTGGTATGTAAATGTGGTTGTGTTTTTTTTAAATTTTTTTATGGTGTATGCCCCTAGCGGGAACCAAACCCAGACCTCTAGTCCGCAGGCTGACACTCCAACCGCTGAGCCAAACTGGCCAGGGCGTGGTTGTGTTTTTAATGTAAAAATTTTGTTTTTTTTTTTTTTTTATGTATATCTACCTGGGCCCATTTTAAGGAGATTTCTTAAAGATCTTATCTCTGGATGCTATTTTTTCTTTGCAGTTCCTAGATTAAAACATAACACCTGTAACATATAACATGTATTAGAACAGCGCTGTCCAAATAGAATTTTCTGCTGTACCAGAAATGTCCAGTTCTATACTGATGTACCACTAGCCACACATAGCTAGCTGGTGAGCACTGAAATGTGGCTTGTGTGGGTGAGGAACTGGATTCTAAATTTTAATTCTGGTTGGTATAAAATCACACAGCCACATGCGGCTCCCACATGAGAGCAGTATCAGTACAAAATCTCAGAATTACCTGGAATACGTGTAGTCCTAGGTGTTCCTTGTGTTCTGAAAGCCATAGAACTGGAGAAATTGTTTTTACTCGTGGATATTTTTTAAGAAAAACAAATTCTTGTTTGGCCCATACTAGAAAATAATCATGAGTTGTTGTTTTTTATGTAGTAAAAACAGAAATCATACAAGGAAAGATCTAGGCATTAGGTTGGCAGCAAACTGAAGGATGCACTTCCTGAGTGTGATGCTCGGGCCTGCCTGCCTTTGAGGAAGGAAGTTAGTGCCTGTAAACACTACGGGGCCTGCTGGTTTTGTAGGAAATAAATCCCCATGGACTGGGACCTTTATTTGCTTCCCCAGTGGCCACTCTACTTGGCATCACTCCTCAGATCGTGGTCCACGTGTTTATTTACTGTACAGTTACAGCGTGAGAGCTGCTCTAACATCGGGGCCGGGAAGGGGGGCGCTGGGCTTCCCACACGTGTTTATTTACTGTACAGTTACAGCGTGAGAGCTGCTCTAACATCGGGGCCGGGAAGGGGGGCGCCGGGCTTCCCACACGTGTTTATTTACTGTACAGTTACAGCATGAGAGCTGCTCGCACATCGGGGCCGGGAAGGGGGGCGCCGGGCTTCCCACACGTGTTTATTTACTGTACAGTTACAGCGTGAGAGCTGCTCGAACATCGGGGCCGGGAACGGGGCGCCGGGCTTCCCACACGTGTTTATTTACTGTACAGTTACAGCGTGAGAGCTGCTCGAACATCGGGGCCGGGAACGGGGCGCCGGGCTTCCCACACGTGTTTATTTACTGTACGGTTACAGCGTGAGAGCTGCTCGCACATCGGGGCCGGGAACGGGGCGCCGGGCTTCCCACACGTGTTTATTTACTGTACGGTTACAGCATGAGAGCTGCTCGCACATCGGGGCCGGGAAGGGGGTGCTGGGCTTCCCACACGACGACATGTGTCAGCCAGTCTGAATGATGCAGGGTTCTGTAGTGGGCGTCCCCAGTTGGGTCGGTTATCCTTAGTGATGCATGTATGTGTGCAGACACCATCTTCTTACGTTCAGTACTGCAGTGAGCACCTGGCATATGCCCTCTATTTGCCAGCTGTTCTTAGAGCAGTAAGATGAATCGCTGGAATCTCCATTGCCAGCTTGAAGAGTAGTATTTTCAGCTGAATAGTGAAGGTGGCCCTAAGATAGCTGGGAGGATGGAGCAGGTAAAGCCTTTCTGAAGCATATAAACAAAGGGAGAAACTAATCGGAAACAGTAATTCTCAAATATAAATGGCCAGTTACATAAGCCAGCCCTGGCAGTAATGAAGGAAATGAATTCAAAGCAAAAACGAGACAGCATTTCTGACGGCTCTACGGCAGCGTCAGAAGCACCAGCAGTGGCGAGTCTGTAGGGAGGTGCTTGTGGCCGCTTCTCGGAGCGTGCACTGGACAATGTTCACGGGGGCTGGCACTACCGCTTAGAATGTATAGGCCTTTTGACCCAACAATTGTGTTTCTAGGGTATTTTCTTTCCTGTGGTGTTTATAATAGGGAGAAATTAAAATTTTAGATCTTCAAAATTAGCAAATTCTAACATAAATTGTGGCACCGTGTAGAGTGAGTGGCACAAGCAGTTTGATTGGCATATAAACTTCAGGTTCCCAGTTGGTTCTACAAGACGGTGTACGTATCTGTAAATCACACATTTCCCCCTAACTTTTCTATCACGACGTGTGCAGAATGAGACAAAGCTCCAAGGAGTCCCTTGAGGGGAGGAGAGAATCATGTAGGCCTCAGAGGCCTGTCAGCCTGCACCCAGGGTAGCCTGCGCTCTGATCTATGGAAGCCCTTTTAGAATTGTGGGTGTGAAACCAACGTGGAAACTTGCCAAGAGATTACAATTACAGGCCGAACTCAGAGAAGCTTTGGGTTTGCTTCGAGGCCATCACAATACTGTGAGTCACAGGCTGTTGGGTTTCCCAGGAAATAAGACAATGCGCATACCTTAATTTAAAAATACATTAATAAAAAATGCTAATCACCACCTGAGCCTGCTGGAGAGAGTGCCAATAAACTTTCTCAATTGAGGGTTGCCTCAAACCTGAAGTTTGTCAAAAACGAGTCATCTTGCAGATGCAGTAAAGGAAGCCAGTGGAGTGAGGTGTGCCTGTACTTATGCTTCCTGCACTTTCTTAAAGATGCCCCCATAGTGCTGTCGGACAGTGAGGAAGAAGAAATGATCATTTTAGAACCGGACACGAATCCGAAGAAAATAAGGTAACAATCTCTGGTTTATTCCACTGGTTTTATTCTCATCTTACCCTACTGTAAACAAGACAACATCCCTTTCTCATTAGAAATCTAGCTGTTCTTTGGTTTCTTCAACCTGAGGTGTAGAAACAGGACCCAATTCTATAAAACTGGATGCCTTTCAAAGTCACTGTATTTACCCTCATAGTTGGCCGATGTTAAATCCTACTAGAAAAAGTAAGGCCTGCTATTTTTGTGGTCTGGAACTCAACAAGCACAGCAGGGTGAGTCACCGTGGAATCATCTAGTACTGATACTGTTAGTAAACTGTCCACTTACTTCATTCGCAGAACACAGACCGTCAGTGCAAAACAAGGAAAAGCGCCAAGTAAACAGCCAGTGAAAAGGAGGAAAAAGAAGAGAATCGCCAACTAAAGCGCACGCGGCTGTATTTGTGTACATAACTACTAAAGGGTATTTATTTAAGTGCTGGCTAGCAACCTTGGCTGTTTTTTATTTACAAATCCATTTTAAAATCTAGTCATTTCTTTAGTTTTTACATTACGCTCTTAAAACCTTCTGGAAAACTACAGGTTTAAACACTGTCACTTCAGTTAAGTGCAAGGCCGACGCACAGAGCAGCATTTTCTTGTGCACGAAGGACTGTCACAACTGATTAAACTACAAGATTTTTAAATTTAAGAAGGTTCCCAGTCCCCATAGGAGAAATTAATTATTCTGAGTGAAACCCTGCAGTCAAATTTTTACCTCAAATTAGACTTACAAACCAAATTTTCCAAATCAATTTATTATTACCTGACAGCTGGCATCATTAATACTTAACAAAACCACTTACAATTAGCCACGTATCTAAGATAGTTACATGTACAAAAGATATACAAATTAAAACCATTAAAAAAGGAATAGATACCATAATTTGTACTTGACCATAACTTTTGTATTCAGAAATGATTGTATAAGTGAAGCCTAAGATAAACTGTACACCTCATACTCGGATTTAAATCTTAGAAAACAGTCAGTCTTGCACGGTTACGCATGTAGCGTGTCTGGTGGGCTAAGGAGAGAAACACCATGATACCTGGAAGAGGAAAAAAGCCACTTTTAGCAAACATGCACGCAGTGAAGGAATGTACATGACTCAGAAATGCTCTCCCTGATCCAGCAAATAAAGCCGCCATCTGTTCTCAAACAGGTGCGTGCCCCGCCCCACCCTCCTCCCTCAAATACAGGACAGACACAGGACTGCCAGAGAACAGCCTAAAAGGAGGCTGTGCCGACTGCGAGCCCTTTAATAAAGGGCCAGTGTCAGGACTCTGAACTACTCGGTGGCCTGGAAAGCCAGCCCCTTTAGACCCACTCATGCTCCGTCTTACTTGGCATGTTTGTACTTCTCGCGGATGGACTGCTGTGCGTGCTGGGGGGCTCGGAGGTAGGTCTGCTGCAGGTCCAGGAGGCAGGGCTTCAGACTCTCCAGGGTGTAGCCAGTCTTCTGGACCAAGGACTCAGGCTGCAGAGGGAGGAGAAAACCGCTGAGCTGTTTTTAGGAGCAGACACGAGGTAATAGCTCGCACTGAGCTTGGGTCTGGTTAACTTTCAGTCCTAACACCACCTAACAGGTCTTCCCGTTTTCTCGAGCCTGCATCCCATCTCTACGCGGACTGGTCAGTCTCTGCTCCTGGCACCGCAGCAGGTTGGGAGGCCGGGATTCTTTAAGCACGCCTTTCGAATCCCAGCGATGACAACTTTACCTAACATGCTTCAGCAGTGCTGGACAGTTCCCAGGTCAGCACCCCGACAGGCAGCTGTCGAGGACAGTTAGTTAAGGCACCTGGCAGGGCGGCAGGCGCGAGGCAGACGCACAAAGATGAATACGTACCCAGCTCTGACCCGTGACAGTCTGGAGTGCTAGGTGGAAGGCCGCTCCGGCAATAACTGACGGCACGTACTTAAGGTAGGGGTCAGCATCTATCAGACTCAACTCTCCCAGAAACTGGAATGAGAACGAATAGACTATGGTCATGGGAGCTGTAGAAGTCGACCCTCAACTCACTGCCTTCTGACCTCGTTTATTCACGGCTTGGCGCCCGGCTGCGCGGCAACCAGAGGAAAGTCCCACAGCCGTGCCCTTGAGATACAGCCACTGTCAGTGTGTTCCATTCTCGTCCCCAGTCTCTCCTCTTTCAGTAGCTTTGTGTGTTTAATTACTAATCTTCACCCAAGTACATGTTTTTATTTTTATTTATTTGAGAGAGGAAGGGAGAGAAACAACTATGTGAGAGAGACAAGTCAGTTGCCTCCCATACGTACCCCAACCGGATAGCAAACTGAAAACTTAGTTATGTGCCCTGATCAGGAATCGAGCCCACAACCTTTTGATGTACAGGAAGATGCTCCAACCGAGCCACCCAGCCAGGGCACTTTAATAACTTTAAAAATAAGTCTTCTGGCCCTGGCTGGTTTGGCTCAGCGGTTGGAGTGTCGGCCTGCGGTCCAGAGAGACCCGGGTTCGCTTCCCGCTAAGGGCATGAACCTCAGTTGCAGTTTGTCCCCGGCTCTGGTTGGGTTGTGCGGGTGGCAACCACTCGATGTGTCCCTTTCACGTCGATGTTTCTCTCCCTCTCTTTCCCTCCCGCTCTATCAGAACAAAATATAAAAAAAAAAAATGTCCTCGGTGAGGATAAAAAAAAAAAAATAAGTCTTCTGGCGACCACTTCCCAAGACTGGAATTTCTGTTATCGTGCCAGTGGGAGTCTCTCTCCCACACTGCAGCGCGAACCCGTCCCTGAAATACTGCCCCTTGCCCAGCGCTGTATAATGGAACCTGGGCTCGCCCCTAATTGTGACGTAAGAATCTTGCTTCGACAAATGCACAGAACTCACCATCGCTAAGCTTTCCACTTTGCAGTTCGCAGGCTGCTGGTGCAGAAAGTACTGGGTGAGAAACTGATTCACGGTCGGTGCAGCCAAGTCAAAAGCAAGGACTTTCAGAACGAGGTGCTCCATTCTTAGAACTTGTTTCTTGGTATAGGTATCATCTGTAATGTACACAAACTCTGCTACTTCTGGGGGGTATATTTCTTCAAACTTTCTACAATGAAAAAGTTTTACGTGATCAGTCCTAAAAGAGAAGCAGGCGTGAACCCCCCGATTCTGGAACCCTTCTAGCAGAACGCACAAAATGAATCCAAAACCTACTCCCCAGCTGCCTGTTTCCACGGACACTTGGCCATTTCTAGCCGGGACGGGGTAAATGAAATGAGAAGACCCAGATCAATAAAGGACTTCAGTCAAAGGAAATAAACGAGAGGAAAGAGACTTCAAAGATAGGAACAATGTTAGAGGAGCCCAAGCAACTGAAAATTTAGGAAATTGTCTTAGAAAAAACACACATCTTATGCTTTAGTTTTAAATTTCAGTTTTCATATCAATGGGGAGAAGACATGATTTTGCTCATGAGCCGGAAGGCTCTTGAATAGAAGGAACCACACTTTTCAACTTTGTAATCTGGTTCCAGTATATGGAAATGTGGCCAGTCTGTGTGTTCATCCAACAGGTTCCCTGGGATCCAGATCTGGAAAAATTATGTCCTAAATTAGGAAACAGTTTCATCCACACCTGTCACCACTGAAGCAGCCACCGACTCTCTGCCTTGTGTGATACTATGTCTCACTGTTAAAAATCATGTTTCTTCCATACACACAAAGGTACGGATCACTTTTAACCCAACGAGCCAAGCCGACTTACGAGGCTAAGAGCATAGCAGCGGTGCCCACAAGCTGAAGTTTTCCTCTCAGCACAGACATGGAGGAAAGGAACCTATCGATGTAGTTCACAGCCAAGTGCAGGGTCTCATTCTGTAGTTTATATTCTTCTCCTACTTCAACTAACCAGTCCACAAGGATAGCCCTCATACTGTTGGTGATGTCTGGCTGTTTCTTCATGTAACCTGCTTTAGGCTTACACTTAATCTGTCGAGAAAGTCACTCGGCGTTAATGCAGTTAGGTTACGATAACAAAGGTGCTACAGTGATACCTCGGTTCTCGAACATAATTCATTCCAGGAGGACGGTCGAGAACCGAATTGTTCGAGAACCGAAGCAATGAAACCAATAGGAAAGCGTGACTCCACAAAGCGTGACTCTCTCTCTGCACTCACACTGATGACGCAAGCAAGGCGCGCTGGGCCGAATGAACGCCATTCGGCTCAACTCGGCTCATCTCGGAAGTTCGAGTTCCAAATATTTGTTCGGATTCCGAGACAAAAGTTTCTCGAATCTCCTGGTCGAATACCGATTTGGTCGAAAACCGAGGCGTTCGAGAACCGAGGTATCACTGTATATGCTAGAAACCCAAGTACAGCATTAAAGTAATGCACGGGCGGTTAAAGAAACTTACCAACGTTCTCTCAATTTCATGTTACCACACTGAATAAATAACATTCGTGGACTCTGAGAGCCTTACCTCCATCTCCCTAAGGTATGTATGAATGTCCTCGTGGTAGTCTGGGACTTCATTAACACTCACTGGCTTTTCATCTTCCAGTACAATGGACATGTCCATAGTGTGTGGCGACTCTGGGAGAATTCAAAACTACGGTTAGTCCCTGTTTAATTTTCTACTGACTAGCCCAAAGCGATTGCCCTTGCAGGGAGCCCCACACGACAAAAGCATTTATTTCAGCCATGACCAAGTATGTAGACGGTCTCACTCTCGTTCTAGAATCTCTATCCACTTAGCTTTAGAATGATTTCAATTAACAAGAAATACTGATAAGCAGTAACAGGAAAAGAAGTATGAGGATCAGGCATTATGTTAGAGTATCTATCATTCAAGTGCTATGAGAGACAATGGCACAGTGGTTCCATCAGGACAGGGTTAAAATCCAAGTTCTGAGATAACATAGGATTTTCCCTAAATGCAGATCCCAGAGTCTGGTGAGTCAAAGCACAATGTAGGCGAGAACTACATTCAACGAATGATGCACCTTCTGAAATTTTAAGTTATCTTTTGAAGCAAAGAACATCATTATTCTTTTCACTTAAAGGTTCACTGTGAGGTTAAAATTTGTTGCAAATTTTAAATAAAAATACACAAATTATTTTAATTCCAAAGGACTTTCCTGCTCCTTCCAGACCACGTGTCACCAACAGAACTAAAAGTAAAATCAGATTGGATATATGAGCTGTCCGGTGACTCCACAGCCCCACGGTAAAGCAGCAGCACACTGTGGGCACAGCTGTCTAGATCAGCGGCTCTCAGCCTGTGGGTCACGACCCCTTGAGGGGTCAAACGACCTTTCACAGGGGTTGCCTAAGACCATCGGAAAACACTTATTTCCAATGGTGATTCATAACAGTAGCAAAATTACAGTTACGAAGTAGCAACAAAAAACTTTATGGGGGTCACCACAACATGAGGAACTGAATTAAAGGGCCGCAGCATTAGGAAGGTTGAAAACCACTGGTTTAGAGCCACTGGTCTCCGTATATGCCGTTAAGTACAAATACCTACGGTTCACCTCCTATCTCACAGGACAAAGTTCCTCTCTGGTGTCAGATCGCTCAGACTGGTTTCACAGAAACAAAATTCTTAAAGCCGGAAGAGATGTGAGATATCACAACATGTCAAGCTGCACGCTCACATAGCACTCTGAAGTGGTACACACCATGTGAGTCTCAGGAATGAATACAACCGAAATCTATTCTAACGGTGCAAACATTTCCGGGGTCAGATTAAAACCAGGGTTTGAAATCTAGTTCAATTGATGAGATTGGCAGTGTACTGGAAGGGGCATCCAATTTGATTTGGGTCTTTTTGTAGGCCACTGGGTCATGAACTAGCTGTGAGGTCTGAGATAAATCACACCCTTTCTAAACTTGTGACATTAAACCTAACTCATTATATAATAAGTATTAGGTAAGATAATGTCTTAAAATGCAAAACATCATTAATCCAACCTACTTAGTAATTATGGCTAAATTGGTTTGATACAGATGTTCAGTAAAACTTACCAAAACTCCCATCCATTGGATAATCAAGAGGTACCAGTGGTTTTCTTGGTTCAGGTAAAGTAAGAGCTGACTTAAACGCCAGGACATCTTCACATTCTGTTTCTTTAGATTCACCTGGCCTCTCTTGAGTCTCTTCTTCTGCTTCATCCACATGAATGGTAAATGCAGGCTGTTTACTGTTTGCTTTCCAGGGAGGAACAGCGACATGCTCATCATTTACAGGAAGATCCTTAAGAGGTGCCACCTAAAAAGAAACCAATAGCTGGCTTTGAGCTGATTAAATGCAGTTTTGCTTTCTTCCCCTTAAGTATCTCAGCCTCTGCTTTTACTCCCAACTACCCTATCAGGAAAATAGACATTCTAGGACAAAATCCAGGCAAGGAAGTTTGAGTAGTTGAGGAAAAGAAGGGATGGTCCAATTTGTCACAGGCACTTATACAAAGATTAGAGAGAGAATCATACTAAGTGGAATTATGAAAAACTAATCAAGACCACAAGGGGTAGGGAGGGGCAGAAAGCAGACAAGTTTAGGAAAGAGATGGCAAAAATATGTTGGTTCACCACTTTCTCCCCGGGGTGGAGCAACAGAGCAAATCCGGTAAAATGGCGGAATTTACCAAAAGCAAAGTATTTTTTATGTCCTTTCCTAAAGTAGAGGTAACCTCTTAACTTCCCTCTATGGGGAGGCGGTAGGAGGTCCGGGTCCTGGAGCAGTGCCTGGGGTTTAAAAGCTAAGAGTGAGGTGTGGAGACGGGCCAAGACCACACTCGTTGCAGGGCTTGGTTTGACCCTGTTGAGAGAAAAATACCCCAACACAGAGCAGGTAGGCAGCAAACAGTGTGGCCGGGCGAGTAGTGGGAGAAACGTCCCCAGTGGCACCCAACACGACAAAAAACAGGGGTCAAGGGACCGCCCTCAAAATGCCCAAAGGGTGCCTTCTCGCCCCTCTCCTGTCTGCTAAGCCCATGCAAAAGCACCCTTCGTGTCTTTACCCGTCGCGTCTTGGGCCTCGGCGGCGGCGCCGGACCCCGCTGGCTCCCGGCCTTCAGGACCGCCAGCCTTGCCCGCGTCCGGGGCTGCTGGGCGGGAGACGCCTTCTCGGGGTTGATGTTCTCCTGGTCCTCTTGGGGTGCCGTCTGCTGCAACGTTAGCGGCGCCGAGCCCGCCTCGCGGGCCGCAGACGTGCCCAACATCGCTGCTCCCGAGGACACGGCGGGATCCGCCCGCGGCGCCAAGCAGCGTGCACTCCGTCCCGCCGAGCCGCCGCGCCGGGGACGCTCCAGCCGGAGCCGCTCGCCGCAGCCCGGGCCCGCCCGCCGCCGGGATCGCCGAGAACCGAGGAGGCTGCGAAAGGCGCAGGCACGGCCGGGCGCGGAGGGCCGGGGACACCGAGACCAAGCGAGCAGCCCGCCGGAGCGGCGGCTGTTCGTGCAGTTCAAGTATCCCGCGACTATTGAAATGGGCCAATGAAAAGGGCCGGCGCCCGTGACGTCACCAGGGCGACACGCCGCGGGCAGGGGAGGCGGCCGCGCCCGCAAACGCGCATGGGCGGGGCGGGGCGGGGCGGGGCGACGCCGGGCAGCGGCGGGAGGAAAACGCCTGCGCAGGCGGGAGGTGGGGCCTGGCCGTCCGCGAGCTTTAAATGGAGCGAGTGGGAGGCCCCGGACTCGGGGCGAGGGCGGCTCCGAGGCCAGCTCGGCCGCGGCCCCTGCCTTTGGCCCCCGGGCCTGCAGGGGGCTGACAGACTTGTTCGCCAAGGTCCGAGTCTGGCCGGGCTACCCACTGGCCTGCTGGTCTTGGTCAAGTCACTGTGTCTCCGAGTCTCGGTTTTATCAGTTCGTTGTTAATACTACGTGTCCTCAAGGTTAATTATGCGCATACGTCGTTCAACGCTGCTAACGCTGTAACAGATCATCCAGTGGCAGGCTATAAGGCCATCCACGGTTTAGGTGTTTCTTCTGCCTTGGCCTTTCATTTTTCCTAATTTGAGGTGCACCTTGAACTACTGTTGTATATATAAAACAAATAGTAATGTCCTACACGAAATTCAACTAGACAGTAATTAATTCTTATCTATTTTCCCCAAGCTGCAGCAGCCAATAAAAAACACCCAGTGAAATTCCAGTGACCTAGATATAATTGTGTTCTATTTAGAAATGAAGGTCGTTTGTAGTGAAATATATGACCTTAATAAAATGAAACTCTCTTAGCGATATGTGCCTTAAACAAATTTTCACATTTAATATACAAAGCTTGCACATAACTAATCAATATAATGTACATAATTAAGAAGTATGATTGTTTTCTGACAAATTCATGAGTGTACCTTTCTTAAAAACATAAATAGCTTACTTTCCAGTATAATCTTTATGTCATTTTAAAGCAACCTTTAAATACAATATTCCCTCGAATATGAATACATATTAATTACAATTAATGAACAAAATTCCCATAGCCTTAAAGTTTTATTTCCCTTCACACATGACATAAAGGAAAGGAGTTGATGCTAGTACAGGAAAATCTAAGAAGTCATCACTGTTCCTGCTATTCACATGGACACTCAGCAGCTCTACTGGTTACAGAACGTCACCCGGAGATCTCCCCACCCTGTCTGTGCAAGCTCTGCTCCTTCCCCGTCCACAACTCGTGCCGCTGAGCCGACGCAAGCATTCCACGAACTGAGCCCAGTCACAATGTTCACTATCTAGCAGGAGTGAAATCAGTTGCTAATCGATCTCAACTCCTAGAAAAAATAATTGGTAGATTATTTGCACTGGCTGGCAATATACATAATAACTAGGACACAAACCAGGCACCAGAATGTGGGTTCTAGTCCCAGCTTTACAAAATCATAGCATGTCCTCTTTCTTCATCACCTAACCTCAGTGAAAATCAATTTTCTTATTCCATTTGACAGAATACTGTATGTTGTGAAAGTCAAATGAGTTAATGAGTGTAAATACATTTGAAAACTCTAAAGCAGTTTGTACATATACTTGGTGGGAGTAGCTTGTTAAGTATTTAAATACAGGGTGGGCAAAAGTAGGTTTACAGTTGTGAGTACACAAAACAGTTTATTCTTGTATTATAATTTATTAAAGATTATATTATTGCCCATACAAATTGTAAACCTACTTTAGTCCTACACTGTACATTTTTTATCTTCCAAATATTATTTCTCAACATAAAAGTTAAACCACCACTTGCAAAAAAATTCATTAAAATCCCTTATAATCACTCCACTTGTATTTTTAAAATAAAAATGCTATTTATTTTTAAAAGGTTGCATTCTTCAAAAGAAATAGAAGCATTCCTTTAAAAAAGTCGTTTCTCAATATTTTTATATAATATTTAAAAGTATTTGAAATAATAGTGTATACAGTTAGCTCGTAATTTTGTTTTAACATTTTCATTTACAGAGACAACTTCTCTCGACCTTTACCTTGTTTATATTTCATGCAGCATCAAAGAAAGCAATCAACGCGTTTTGGTCATAACTGTCCAGAATCTCCAGCAAAAGAGGTACTTTGGTTTTCACATTGGTGCCTTTGAACTTGAACTTGTCTATAAAAAGATCCGTGATCATGCCTATAAAAAAATGTTAATTTCCCTGTCATTGATTAGTTCTAATTAACGATACAGTATTTAATTAAAGTGAATGATTGCTTGATAATCTATTTCTAAGCACTTGTTATTCCATTATTTATACATAAACCTAAAAGAACTGATGTTTTAAAAATATTTATTTTGGAGGGATTTTAGGACAAGTTTCAAAATATAAATCATTTGGCTAATAACCCTCTTAATAATTGATTATAACCTAATAATTCAGGCAATCAACACTGATAGGTTCTGAACTGCTCTTGGTACATATGACATCACAAGTGGTTTGCTTTCCATAGCAGGCTGACAATTGTGACACAGTGTAGAGATTCGGTTCTTAACAGGTTTATTTAGAATAAAATATTCCGTCTCTATGTTGACCATTCTGGGGATTTGACCTGAAGGCAAATATTTCTAGGTTCAAAGATCTGGGCAAATGGTTTCACCTTTAAGTTCTCTCACATGTACAATGGGAATAATTCAAGCTATGGATCCTTTACCCAAAACCCTAGATGCAAGAGCAGATGCAAATTGTCGGAATTTCTCACAATTTGGAAAGAGAGTGAAAGGAACACAACATACATGGCATGAAGCCCAAGGGGAGCGAGCGGCAACATTTGATAACACAGGGCTGTGTTTCTGCAACAAAATATATGGATAAACAACCACACTAAATGGAATAAAAAAAGACTATAAATCACCTCATGTTAGTTTAAGTGAGATTTTGGAATTAAATTAATTCCGATCAAGTCAGATTTGATGCAAAATTCTTAATAAAAAAAGCTTTGTTTTTCCAAGCTTCATGGGTTTTGGAATTGGTGACGAGACGGTGGTTCTGCCCATGCCTCCTCTGAGTCGACATAGGCACAAAAGATCATGTGCTTGCAGTATGGTTAATACTGAGATATTCGGTATTATTATTACAGTTTGTGAGCAAGGCCCTGGGTATAAAATAAGAAATGCATTACACAGGCTGAAGGATCAATGTAGACTGATGACACCAATTAACTCTACAAAAGACGACACAGTGCAGACAGCATGCATTTGGGGGGAGGAGGTTCTGCAGGCTTTGCCACTCCCTACCAACGTGACAACAACGTCCTTAGTCTCAGATTTCACATTAAATAATGTGAAAAATGGAGATATAACATCATCTACCTTGAAGAGCTATTGTAAGGATGAAATTCCCCACCTGATTATGAAGATGCTATAAATAGGTGTGCTATGCGGGATAGGTCTCGTGTAAAGACTGCAAAGCACAAGTTGTTCTGAAAGGCTTCCTTCCCTCCGGCTCTTGCTCTCTTTCAATGTAATTTGTAAAACACACAACTTCTACCACCAAAGCAAAATGAGTTTTGGTTTGACAAAGCACATATATATCCCTTATAAAATTATGCTAAAAATATTAAATGCTGCATACTGATTTTCACAATAGCAACAAAACCTGAAAATTACTGGTGTGAAATACAGCCTAAATTTTAATGCTTCATTTATATTCATTTCACACCAGGTTTCTTCATATATATAAAACCGTCACATTAAACTTATTTTACGTCCTAATTTTACTTGCATTTTATCAAGTAAAAGTATTAAATATTAAAATGAACTTGACAAAATAAACATTGTAAGCAACAAATCGGCTGTCACCGGCTCATGACTGCCATAACCTCTGCCTGTCTCCTCTGCCCAGCTTCTCACAAACAGCTGGTAGAAAAGAAATTCAGCAAGTATTCTAGAACAGTCCACTAACCATAGAGTCTTTCAAGATGTGCGGGTTGCTTTTTGTATTCTTCCTGCAGCTGATCTGCCTCTTCTAGAATACAGCGATATTCTGGTATCAGAAAATTTGTATTTCCTTCATGGACCTGCAATTCCTTATTTTAAATTAAAAACAGAAAAAACTTAATGTTTCAATTTCAATCTAGTGTAACTTTAAAGTCTTTACAATTTCAGAAATTCCATCACAATAGAATAATGATCATAAGTCCATGACACATATACTTACTTTTAAAGCATCAATCAACTGCACTTTCTTAGCCAAAAGCAACTGGTACTCGAGCTTTGGATGGATTAGCTCTAGAGTGTGTTTGACTGACCCTTCATTGATCTCTAGAGGGAGGTAAGCCAGGCACAATTAGAAAGTCATTTTGATCAGAAACATTCTTGTTGTAACAACAACCAAAAAATAAAAATAAAACAGAAAAAAAAATTTATTGTTCTTTCTTTTTACCGTATGATATGTTGAGGTTAATTTTCTTTTTTGTAGCTTCTTTAGAGAGCACATCTTTTAAGATGGATATAGTAGAAATGTTGTCAGATTTGAAAACTCCTTCTCCTTTTCTACAAAATTAATATATATTTTTAAAAGAACAGCTTTAGAAGGAAATACACCCAGTAAATATATATTTTGTAACAAGTAACTAGTGTTTAGAGTTCATTCAATTTTAGATTTCTTTATATACACATCTCATTATTAATATAAAGCATATTTAAATGTGTAACCTTTTACTGTTATATTAATTCAAGTTCTGAACATACTTGTAAAAGGTAACAAAAGATGTCAGATATGTTTCCTAAAGATATGCCAATTCATGTCCTTCATTTAATACAGCTTATTCATTTTCACTAATACAATTTCCAATCGCTAACGCTTATGTGTATAAAATACAGACTTGCTTCCTTACACATAAGGACGTCTTTGTTCTTTGCACTCACATAAATTACAGCAGGACTGTGTGCTTCACCTAAGCCGGTATCAAACCTGTGAACAACACACTCTGTTCTTCCAGGGGCCCTCCCATGGGAGCCGCTCCCTCTCTCACCTCCTCCACCCACACAGCTTCACCGGCCCTGGCCTCAGCCCCAGGCCCCTCTCTCACCTCCTCCACCCACACAGATTCACTGGCTCAGGCCTGGGACTTTAGAAGGAAGCATTCAGCAGTCTGCACAGACCTCTGACCACAGTGGTTCAGGGCTCAACAAATATACTCAATCCTGGGACTTTTTCTTTACCAGAACTAGTGGGAAACAGACTCTCCGGTGCCGACAGGACAGAAAGCTGGGGCGCTGCTGGCCACCATGGCACTGCACAGGCCACGGAAGACAAGAGCAGAGCCGAGTGGCAGAAAGCGCTCAGGTCTTGGTGACAGCAGTTGGCCACTGATCAGATGTCCGGAGGCAGAGGACTGCTGCACTCCTGCACTACAGGAGCTGAAATTCCTCTTACAGGTCAGACCTGTTTTTATTTCATTCCTTCTTCTGATGACCAGACGTTTCCTAATCAACATACACCATTTTTCATGTATTTAATGTTGCCTTTTGGCTTGGTTTTCATATACACATAGTGTATATTGACTAGCTATAGTCAAATATTGACTTCTTTCTTCTAGAAAGATGAGTAACACCCACTTTTTTTTTTTTTATCCCAATCATGTTTTAGAAATCACAAGATTTTTCACTAGTCTTCAATTTTAACTGATGATATTTAATATTAAACACACAGTACCCGACATTGTAGAATGACTTACATGGCTTATCTTCTTTTAATCCTCACAATTCAATGAATAAGTGCTATTTCCATGCCTCAGAAGAGAAAACAAGCTCAAAGACTAAAGTAATCTAGCTGAGGTCAAACAGCTGGGGAGTCACAGAGCCAAGGTTCACCCCTTGCAGGCCTTTCTCAGAGCACCTGCTCCCACACCTCCTCCGCGTGCATGTACTTTACTCCGATTGCTAAGAAACATGCACTGAGCGCCACTACATCGAAGTCCTGTGCCGGGTACTTGAAGGACACATACACGATAACTAAGAAATAGATTCTGCTCATGAGCTCACAGTCTAATTTAGAGATACAAGCTTACAGTAAAAAATTATATACTTCAAATGAATAACGATAAATATGTAAGACAGGTAAGGACAGAATGCTTTGGGAATAGAGAACAGAGTCAGGAAAGGCTTGAACAGGCAGCTGTCGGGCTGGGCCTTGGAGACTAAGCCGAGTGCTCACGGGCGGGCCAGGGCAGGGCAAAGGGCGCTGTCCGGGGCACGCGGCAGGCCGGGCGAGGGCAGGGCAAAGGACGCTGTCCGGGGCACGCGGAAGGCCGGGCGAGGGCAGGGCAAAGGGCGCTGTCCGGGGCACGCGGCAGGCCGGGCGAGGGCAGGGCAAAGGCGCGCTGTCCGGGGCACGCGGAAGGCCGGGCGAGGGCAGGGCGAGGGCAGGGTAAAGGCGCGCTGTCCGGGGCACGCGGCAGGCCGGGCGAGGGCAGGGCGCGGGCAGGGCAAAGGCACGCTGTCCGGGGCACGCGGCAGGCCGGGCGAGGGCAGGGCAAAGGCACGCTGTCCGGGGCACGCGGCAGGCCGGGCGAGGGCAGGGCAAAGGCGCGCTGTCCGGGGCACGCGGAAGGCCGGGCGAGGGCAGGGCGCGGGCAGGGCAAAGGCACGCTGTCCGGGGCACGCGGAAGGCCGGGCGAGGGCAGGGCAAAGGGTGCTGTCCGGGGCACGCGGAAGGCCGGGCGAGGGCAGGGCAAAGGGTGCTGTCCGGGGCACGCGGCAGGCCGGGCGAGGGCAGGGCAAAGGGCGCTGTCCGGGGCACGCGGAAGGCCGGGCGAGGGCAGGGCAAAGGGTGCTGTCCGGGGCACGCGGAAGGCCGGGCGAGGGCAGGGCAAAGGGTGCTGTCCGGAGCACGCGGCAGGCCGGGCGCGGGCAGGGCAGGCGAGGGCAGGGCAAAGGGCGCTGTCCGGGGCACGCGGCAGGCCGGGCGCGGGCAGGGCAGGCGAGGGCAGGGCAAAGGGTGCTGTCCGGGGCACGCGGCAGGCCGGGCGCGGGCAGGGCGCAGGCAGGGCAAAGGGCGCTGTCCGGGGCACGCGGCAGGCCGGGCGCGGGCAGGGCGCGGGCAGGGCAAAGGCCCGCTGTCCGGAGCACGCGGCAGGCCGGGCGCGGGCAGGGCGCAGGCAGGGCAAAGGGTGCTGTCCGGGGCACGCGGCAGGCCGGGCGCGGGCAGGGCGCAGGCAGGGCAAAGGGCGCTGTCCGGAGCACGCGGCAGGCCGGCTGCGCAGCATCCACGAGGACGGGCAGCCTGCCGGGGCGCGTCCAGTGGTCAGCTGCGGCTTTAGTGGGAGGCTCACTGCAGTGCTTCGAAACAGGGGCGCTATTCCGGTTCGGAGCAGATAAGACCCCTGGAAGGCGGTGAAGCAGCCCCATAGCACCGGTCCTACAACCAGTTCGAGTCCCAGAGCGCTCTGGGCCGCAAAAGGCTGCATCTGAGGTTGACTCGTCTCCCTGCTGTCTCCAGAACCGGCATGCTCAAGTCTCAGCCAGGAAGCAGACTGCTTCGGTAATCTGTCTAGGCAAAGGATCCCCAAGAGACAGAGACGGCGAGAGGGTAAGAAACCCAGTCCCCTCCAAATAAACAACAACAGGTCAAACGACCAACAACCCGCGGCTGACGGGGTGGGCGCGCGGCGGCCCCGAGGAAGGCCAGGCGCAGGCGCAGAGGCAGGAGAGCCATCGGCCCTGGAGAAGCAGCACAGGAACCAAGGAGCAGGGGTTCCGCCCTCCAGAGCCTCGGGCCCACGGGCGCGCGTGGGAGTGGTGTGAAGGGGTGCAGCCGTGACCTCCTGCGACACGATGGCTTCAAAGGCCTGCGTGTCCTCAGCACTGCGGTTCTGACTCTTTTCCTATTTTTGCATAAACAATTTCAACTGAAATCTTTGTTGGAATTTGCATAATGTTCAAATCAATTTGGGAAGGACTGCCAAGTTTGAGGACTACAGAATATATTACTCCATTGAATGAAGTCTGTCCTTTTTTTTTGTTTTTTTATCCTCACCCAAGGATTTTTTTTGCATTTATCTCCAGATAGAGTGGGAGGGGGAAAGGAAGGAAGAGAGAGAGAAACATCCATGTGAGAGAGACACATTGAGTGGCTGCCACCCACACGACCCCAACCGGGGCCGGGGACAAACTGCAACCGAGGTACGTGCCCTTAGCGGGAACCGAACCCGGGTCTCTCTGGACCGCAGGCCGACACTCTAACCGCTGAGCCAAACTGGCCAGGGCTGTCTTTTTGTTTTTTTAATATGTTTTTTATTGACTTTTAGAGAGAGGAAGGGAGAGGGAGAGAGAGATAGAAACATCGATGTGAGAGAAAGATACATCAATTGGCTGACTCCTGCACACCCCTACTGGGCATATGCGTTGAACTGGGAATCCAACTGCACACCTCTTGGTCCATGGGTCAGTGCTCAACCACTGAGCCACACCAGGTGGGCTCAAGTCTGTCTTTTATGTCTATAAAATTTTAAAGTTTCTTCATGTAACTGCTGCATGTTTTTAAATTTTTTATTGATTTTAGAGAAAGAGGAAGGGGGAGAGAGAGAAACATCTATTTGTTGTTCCACTATCCCTGCATCCACTGACTGCTTCCTGTATGTGCCCTGACCAGGACCAAGCCTGCAACCCTGGAGCATCAGAGCAATGCTCTAACCCACTGAGTACCTGGCCAGGGCACGTCTGCCTATTTCTAATCAAGACTGTTCCTATAGCTTTTATATGGACATTTTGTTATTGTTACTGCTCCTCTGAAAGGGGCTGTTAAACAATTTATTTTCTAACTGGTTATTGTTGGGAATGGGAAATGTATTGATCTTTCATATTCATCTTTATTGAATCGTTTGTTAAAAATGCATGAACTCCACTTGTTTCTCCATGGATTTTCTTGAACAGTATAGGTTACAATTCCATTATTTACAAGTTATTCCTGCTTCAAGACAAAATAAAATGTAGAAGCTCCATTTATATCCAAACACTTGTGAACCAGCACCACGTTTATTACCTGTAGGTACTCTCCAGCTGTGTATCCAGGAAGGTGTTCTGGAAGTGAAAGGTCACACATTCCCCTGCTGGAGGCTTCTCAGGAACTTCGGGAAGGCAGAACACCACCCAGGAGTGCACTTCGGCGAAACTGAACTGGCCTGTCAGAGTCAGTGTGTTCATGGGTCTGTAATTCACAGCAGGGCACACGTTGTGGAGGGAGACACGTGCAAGGAGCACATGACACAGCACACCTCAAACGTTCGGCAACAGCAGTAACAAATACAAGGCACCCTGTGACTTCTCAGACTGATCTCACCCCCGGATAAATGAACATTTTGATTTCCTGGGGAAACAAGGGTGCTTATCTACACCTCTGCTTTTAATATTCAGTTAAGTGACACCAATTACCTGCTTTCATTATAACATGCTTTACAAGTAAAATTCCGTTTACTCAGGTAGATTTCATTTTTCAGAAGTTCATCTAGTATTCCTACTATACAAACTACCGAAACATACTTACCCAAGCGTCTCCTTAGGGAAGTAATGCGCATGCTGTGAAGACACTGAATTGGGCTTCTGAGTTAAGACAGGCCTGGATTCGAAACCCTGCTCCCTGACTGACTGGCTGTCAGCCACTAGGCCAGGTAGAGAACAATACTTTCTATCTTGCAGGGATGTGGAATGATACTTTTTCTACCTTGTGAAATCGCATACATACACACGGGAGTAAAATATATCAAACAGATTTTAAATAAATCAAGTAAATGATTATAAAGAGTTAAAAAATGAAAAGTTTGTGGAACGAAAGGTTCAGAGGAGCCCGGCCGGTGTGGCTCAGTGGACTGAGTGTCATCCCCTGGGCTGAGAGGTCCCGGTTCGAATCCCAGTCAGGGCACATGCCCGGGTTTCAGGCTCGATCCCCAGTAGGGGGGTGCAGGAGGCAGCCAATCAATGCATCTCTCTCATACCGATGTTTCTCTCTCTCTCTCCCTTCTTCAAAATCAATAAAAACACATATTTTTAAAAAGGTTCAGAGGAATTTTAAGAAGATACAGAATTAAGGAACTTAAAACTAGAAGGGATTGTGAGGTCACCCAGACCACTCTCTCATTTGCAGATAAGAAAACTAAAGCCCAGACCGAGAACAGCCGTCCCGCCACTTCGCACTTGGACTTTCACGGCTTCACTCTATCGCGTTTTTTCCAAATATATTCATTAAAAAGTTGATCGAGACAGTGAACATGATACAGCGCGCTCTCGGTTGTCTGAGCCAATTACACACCCCTGTATTACCATTACAACTACAATTACTGTACGTGCGGACTACAGGCCTGTGTATTCGAGCGCCCCCCGCAAATCCTTCAATGCCAGGTGCAGCCGCTGGACCACTCCTTGTGGTCCAACTCTTTTCCAAAAAATTGGGTGTGGTAAAACCAGGCCAATCAGAGCGTGCTGTTCACTGATTGGCTATCCTACCCTCTTCCTGTCCTGGCCACTGATTGGCTCAGCCTCATCAAGTTCATTTCTCTCATATACACTTCTACATCGCTATGCATCAGAAGTGTCTTTGCTCTTGTGTTTGCGGTTTCTGAGAACTTTTATCTAAGCCCCACGATGGCTCCTAAACGTGCTGCTTCTTCTAAGCCTTCTGACGATGAAACTAAGCACCGGAGGAAGATGCTCACCATCCAGGAGGCGACGCTCTTGGATATGATCAAAGATGGAAGAAAGTCGTGGAGATTTCCTGCCATTAGACTTGACTAAGTCTACTGTCCGCTCCACCCGTAAAGATGAAAAGAACATCCGTGCAACGGCCACTGTCTCTTTCCACGAGGAGGCAAAGCGCGTCGTGACAAGTCGTAATGAGTTCACAGTGGAAACGGAGTCTGCCCTCGCCGGCTGGGTCAGCGACAGCCGCAAGGAACACATTCCGCTGCATTCGCGGGTCATCGGGAGAAGGCGAGGCGGCTCTATCAGCGCTTCACGGTGGAGGGACTCAACCAGGACCCTCCTCTGCAACGTTCATGGACCTCACGGCGAGCAAGGGCTGGTTCGAGAAGTTCCAGAAGGGGTGTCATCTGAAGAGTGTCGTTCTCCACAGAGAAGCTGCCTCTGCGGACCAGCCTGCAGCAGAGGACTCCGTGAACAACACGTCCCAGAAGACCCTTGAGGTGGGCGAGTATCATCCAGAACACGCGGGTGAGCTGCCGGAGTCACATTCGGATCCCTGAACTGACGGGGATCTGGTGGCGATGACTAAGTCTGCGAGTCAGGGGAGGAAGAGCAGCCAGAGGGGCCTGGGGTCAGGAGGAGGAAGCTGGCCTTACACGTGAGCGTTTCTCACAAGTCATGAGAACTACTAAGGTAGCACAGGACATGACTGGCGAGTGGGCCCCACAAACGATCAGTACATCGCGGTTCCGAAATGCACTTGATGGGGCGATAGGACCCTGCAAAGCCTCCTCACGAATATGAAGACAGCGCCAGCGACTGCTATCACCATGTTCTTCAGCCGCACCTGGACACCCACTGCCTCCTCCTAGTGCTCCTTCAGGGAAGAAGACAACGACGCACCTGCTCAGACACCGCACCACCTGCAGACTCCTGCTGAGGCCGTGCCTGCAGAGGTGCAGAGACCTTGCTCCTCTCTGCTGTGCAGCACATCTCTCATCTTCATCGCTTCAGCATCGAACAAGTTGCACTAGTCTCATAGGTTAGTGGTTGTGTGTAAGAGCTGTGTGTGTGATTAAATGTACAATAATAATATATTTGGAACGTCTAATATGTCTTATTTTGTCTACTATATTGGGTACTAGGAGTGTAATGGTGACTAAAGGGTGTTATTTCATGTCCAGAGGGCTCTAATAATGTTAAAACGTATTTAGAAGGTCATTAACAGGTTTTCTATGCTCTAACTGCGAAAATATTCGATTTATAAATAAAGAATCCTACTTCGTGGAAATTCATTTATCGCGGCAGAATCTGAAACTGATTAACCGCGACACACAAAGGCCGACTGTAGGTCATTCCCCAATCACACAAGAACAGAGATGGTCACAATGTGAGTCTGCTGGCCACTTGCTTGCTGTTTGCCAGCTCACCATCTACCACCGCCAACCACAACTCTGCCGGGAGGCGGGGAGAAACCCCAGGAGGATCTATCCTCTTCATGGTTTCAAACCAATCTTCCTCAGGAGCACTTCTCCTCCCCTCTTATTTAAACTACCTGCCTTTCCAATTACAAGCTGCAACAGGGAAACCGGGCTTCGGTCTCAAATTACAGCTGCTTCTGCCCTCAGCAAGTCACTGCTCCCTCCTGCACTTCTCCCGGAGGAGGAGCCAGAGCTGCCCCCCAGCCTCGTGGGGCCTGCCCTGCACAGTGAGCACAGGCAGAGGATGCAGTGGCTGCCTCCTTCCTGCCCTCCACTGCAGCCAGGCCTCTATCTTCAGGAAGAAAGGGGCAACGACCACCAGGAGGTGCGTCCATTACAGTGGACGTCGGAAGTGACCGAGGCCATCGCCAAGCACTGCCCAGGAGTGTTTCCTAGTGACCCGGGAAGAAGATGCAGTGTCTGAGGCTAACGAACCAAAGAGCTGTCACAGAGAACCGCAGCAAAGGCAGTTTGAGAGAGAACTGTGACTGTCACTCTCAGAATGGGAGTCTGTAGAAGACAGGAAAGCCCAGCTCCAACCAGCCCCTGAAAGGAGACAAAGACTCTAACACCCATTAGAAATATTAACCCACAGCATTTAGATGAAAATGTACCAATATCTACCAGAATTTACACCACAGAAATTAAAGGTAAGTTGCCCTGGCCAGTGTGGCTCAGTTGGTTGAGTATCATCCCATGCACCAAAAAGTCGCTGGTTTGATTCCCGTTCAGGGCACATACCCAGGTTATGGGTTCAATCCCTGGTCAGAGTGTGTAATGGGAGGCAACTGATCAATGTTTCTCTCTCACATCAATGTTTCTCTCTCTCTCTCTCTCTCCCTACTTCTCTCTCTAAAAACATCAATGATAAAATATTTTAAAAAATCAAAGGCAAGTTTATTTGCATCATGTAATATCCTAAAAATAAACTGCTGCCTCCTTTGTCTTACCTGTCATGATCAATACAGTGACTTCTCTGATGGAGTGACAGGGGCCTGATGAGATACTGGCGGACCTGACAGGTTTTGGGGTGAATTCTCGGAGTCACGTATGCCTGAAGTGTGCCATACTGGCCTTCAATTGAGCGAATCTGATTCAACACAAAAGAGGAAAGAAAATAAGAATAATCTAGCAATGTAAACAATATCTTTAAAATGGTCAACACAAGTAATCAAGTACTTAGGCCTTAATCTCTTCTGTAATAGTTTGAAGCAAATAATGACATTCTATTAAACAACTACTTTTTATCACTAGAGTAAAGGAAGATTTTAAAAGATGTTGGCAGTGGAAAGCAAAATTAATCCATCTATAGACGTTGTCCCCACCACATACTTTCAGGTGATTGGTCTACACTGGCAGTGCTTTGCTATTCCAAAGACATCCATTCTCACATACTACCACCACATTGAAAAACACAGGTGTGTGCTATATTTTATAAGATTCACATCACAAACAGTAGAATTTAGACATTTTTGTTGAAGGGATAAGTACGTTTTTCAAATAATTAAAATGTATATGAAATATTTCATTTTCTCATAAATGGGGGTACTACAGCATAAAACTGTTGTTGTTAAAATTTACTGACAAAAAAAAAAAGTTTCCAGCAACTTAACTCTTGACTTTCACTGACAGTAGAGAAGCAGACTCATAAGGTATTATGACATATTTGATTAGTGAATTCTTTGAGCTAGTTTGCACACGGCTGGTCGGCTGCCCTGAGAATTCAGTGAGCTGGGGACCGGACCCCAGGAAAGGCGGAAAGCTGCCCAGATTCCGCCCCCTGCCCCTTCCTCTCCTCTGTGGAAATCCACGTGGTGCATCGGACTCTCTTGTATTACACAGGTAGCTTCTCTAATCTGATATTTTAACTCACACTTTTCCTGGCACTGTGAGGGTGGGGGGTGGGGGGAGGATCAGTGTTTTACCTGAATGGGAAACATAAATGCACGTTTTTTAAAGCAAGACACTTTGCAAATGTTACACTGCAAATATTGCTCTCAATGGGAAGACAGGAAAGATAAGAGGAAAAGAAATAGTAAAGAATAAAAACACTAAAAAAAAAAAAAAAGATCTGACAGAGCTATATTTTAGGGTTTCTTTTTAAAGGGTAAGCTCACACAATCTTAAAGGAGAAGCTGCACATAATTTTCCCTAATAAAAGGTCATAATGCTTCCTGTGGTTACACAGCTCATATTCATTATTTAAACATCCAAACAATGAAGGGAGATCAGAATGAAACCCTCCCTACCACCCAGACACAGACATGACCATTACTGCTGCCTGGGAGTCATCGCACAAAGACAAATGTGTGACTTCACACAAATTCTATTTACATCATAAACCTGGTTGTTTTCACTTCTTACAATCACATTTTCCCCTTATGGCTGCCTGTCCCCCTCCCTGCCGCTCCCGTCCCTCTGATGCCTCCCCTGCTGTACAACCCATCAAACCAGACAGGTGAGTTTCTTTACACACCTTTCTTCATATGTATGTCATCAGAGATAAAAATATGTACGTACATAGGGATTTTATCTGCTTTTTGTGTTTTTCATGGAATCCGTCCCATGTTATCGGGAATATATCAACTCATTCTTCATCACAGCTTGTACTATTCCTTGGAATGAGTAAGTAGCTATTTAATCCCCCATTCAATTACTGGGTGTTCACTTCGGTTCCACTTCTCTGCTTCTACAAACAGTGGCCAGTGACACATCTGTGTGTACAGTACTGATCTACTGCTGTGAAATCTCCTCCTCCAGACGGGACTACTGCCTATTTCTCCAGTGCCCAGAGCGCCCGTGATTTCCTGTGACTACAATTGAATGTGTCCCTTCCTTCATCCCTGCCACCTGGTGATGTTGCTCTTTAAAATTTTTTGCCAACCTGTCGGATAAGCAGAAACTGTTTTATTTTAATTTGAGTTTCCCTAATAATGACATAGAACATTTTCTGTTAATATTTGTTAGCCATTTTGATCCCCTTTTCCATGAATTGCCTATCCATATCTTTTGCCTATTTTCCTTATTGGGTAGTCTTTTTTACAACAACTTACAGGCAGTCTTGATATTTTATTGATATTCACCCGTTATCTGGAAGTCAAGTAAACTTCCTTCTCTTTTAAGTAACTAGGTCCTTGCCCTGGCTGGTGTGGTTCAGTGGTTGGTGCCTGCGCACCAAAGGGTCTCAGGCTTGAATCCCAGTCCAGGGCACCTGCCTGAGTGGCAGGTTCCATCCCACCCGTCAGGGTGCATGTGAGAGGCAACAGCTGATGTCTCTCTCTCCTCTACTTTCTCTACAAAAACATCCATGGAAAAATATCCTCGGGCGAGGGTTAACAACAACAACAACAAAAATTAGGTACTTAATTTATTTCATATTTTTACATATGACATAAGAATCTGCTTAATTTTCTTATAGATGAATGCAAGTTATGCCAACGACAATGTTAAAACGAAATAGTAACTTAGTCCACTTTTTCCCTACAAAAAATGTCACGCACTACATTTCCATAAATGTGTGCTGGGTTCTATTCCTAGATGATATTTTGTTGCATGATCTATTTATTTAGGACTTATAAATATCCTGCAAGAATTTTATCATAGTAGTTTTATCTCTCGGCTCTTTCAGGCATTTATTCTTTTCTCTGAACTTCAGAAATTATTGTATCCAATTAAAAAAGAACACAGCTTTTAAATATTTTTATGCCTACTTCCAAATTCATTGGCACCATCTTGCTCAATAAAAATGAAATTTAAAATGTTTAGTTAGGTCACATAAAGTATGTTTAAAAATATTCCTTTGGTAATAAACTTATCCCAGTTTTCAATTTTCCTTTCAAAATACATAAAAGGGGACTTATGCAGACAAAAATAGTTTAGAAAAAATTACACTTAACTGAAACTTCCTTAACCAGATGTGGAAAAATTGTGTAGCAGCATCTCTCTTGAAAAACCATACTCTGAGTCTCAGAAGATCAGTAATACCAGGTAAAAATTACAGTCCTCCTTAATTCTTAGATCATAAATGTATCAAAAATAAAAAAGTTGAAGTCTCACATTACAAATTAAATAACTAAAATAGACTTGTGTGCTAAAATCAATTTTTAATTATAGAATGATGCTACTAAACTGCTAAAATACTTTAAGGGACTTCCTCTAGAATACGTAGTAATGAATGACATCTCTGGGGTGCAACCAGAAAAACCCAGGTAGCAGGAAAACCCAGGGCAAGTGCTCAGACACTTCAACAACCAAATACCGATGGGGACCATGCGTGGGTCAAACTACAAAAACAAAATTGCCCAGCAGTGGGGCTCAATGGGTTGGAGTGTCATTCTGTTCACCAAAAGGTTTCAGGTTCAATTCCTGGTTGGGATACATACGGGAGGCAATAGGTCGATGTTTCTCTCTCTGTCTCTCTCCCTCCCTCTCCCTTCCCCTCTCTAAAATCAATAAACATACACTCATGTGAAAATTAAAAAAATAAATCAGTGGAACCTGAACAACGAAATCTGAAATATTTGATGACATTCAGGAATTGTTGATTTTCTTGGGTGTGGTGACAGTCTTGTGGTTGTGTGTTTTAAAGAGTGACCCGCCCTGGTCGGTCTGGTCAGGTTCGAGCACTGGCCTCAGACCAGAGAGCTGCGGCTCAGCTCCGGCCCAGGGCAAGTACCTCAGCTGCGTTGGGTCCCGGCCCTGGCTGGGGTCGTGGAGGAGGCAAGGTGTCCATGTGTCTCTCTCACATCGATGTCTCTCTCTCCCTCTCCCCCTCCTTCCCTCTCTCTCTAGCTGAAGATAATTGAAAAAATACCCTTGGGTGAGGATTTAAAAAAAGAGTGATCTTTTAAACATATGCACCAAAGTATTTATAAATGAAGTGACCCAGCATCTTGCGTTCGCTTGGAGACATCTGGAGGGACAGGGAGACTGGGCAAGGTGGCCATGAGCGGCTGGCTGCTGGCCTGGGGTGGGCACTTGGACATGCTTGAAACTCCCCAACAGAAAGTCAGAAAGCGGCTTCCGGTGAGGGGCAGTCACGGGCTGGTAACTTAGGGCAGGCGCCCGGGTACGTGATAATAGCAGACAGTGGTGTGGGCTGAGTGAAAACCTAAGAGGTCATTCAAAAGTCATTACTCCAAAATGACTCACTTGAGGGACAAATTTAAGGCAAAGGAATGATACCTTATGTTGTAAGATACACCAATGTAAACAATGAAGTTCAGACTTTCAAGCAGCGGTAATTTCGAACATCTTTACCTTGAGTTCCAGCCTCGTGGTATTTGCTTGGCACCGGTAAGTGGCGAGAAGAAAGTTGTCGCTGGACTGGGAAGAATTCAAAGTGAAGGGAAAGAATGAATCCATGTTTTTAACAGTAGAAACAGCATCAATAATGGTCATCACTCGCTGAGCGCCTGCCACCTGGTGGCCCTGGGCTCAGTGCTTCCCACCTGCCCCCACTAATGGCCCAGTGCCATTGAACAGACGAAGAAACTGAGGCATGAGGTATCGGGTAAATTTCCCCAAAGCCAGTAAGTAATGAAACGAGTTCAAATTCGTACCTAAGACTCCAAGGCCGACGCTCTTTCCATCCTGAGTCACTATAACATTTTAAAATAGTTTTCTAAAATGTTAACAGATGGTACAAACTCCCAATGTTGATATTATAAACACAAAGACAACAATGTTTGGTATACTTTGGAGGACTGAGAAATATCACTATTTTCACCAAGGTACATGACTTACTGTAGGAATTCAATACACGTTTGTCGAATTAAACTGCAGAGGTAACTTCAAGTATTATAACTTCTTGAAATTAAACATTAAACTACTAAAATAGCATAAAATCAGGCTTGCCAAATGTGGAAGTCAGCGATGAGCACGTGAAGATAACTGCGCTGTTCCTCTACTATTGTATATACTTGAAATCTCCAGTTAGGTTTTTATAAAACTATCATTCCAGAAAATAGGTTTTAAATTAGTATAAAATACTCATTCCAAAGAATCCAGAAGTGATGTAAATAAGGTGCATCTTGCACATTAATTTAGGAATGAAAGATTTTACATTTATATTAACTTGATTTTTTAGATGATGACAAAAATGTAGGCCCTAATGTTTTGTTTTAATTTGCAAAGAGGGATGACGCACCATATGTAACACAATACAACTGTCATAAATCTCTTATCAAGAAACAAAGCTTTACTACGGGATGTTCCCATATCTTCTGCTAAACTAGCCTGTGCAGAACTAGACAACAGTGTTTCCTCAGGGCTGCTCTACGGTTTCCTGTAAAAGGAAACAGCAGCTCCAGCGTGTGTCTGCTCTCCGCAGTCACTCTTCACCGCCCGCGGGGACTGGCCGGGCAAGGCTTCCTTCCAGTGGCTGTCCCTGTAGCTACCATTAGCAGTTAGCAACAGTCAAAAGAGAAAAATATTTATTTTGAAAAATTGAAAAGATAAAAATCCATTAAGACCTTAAGTTATATATAAATGCTAGACCTCAACAATGTAGGCTTTTAGATTTTACACAGTATCTGGTTTGTTTTGGTTGTGACTGTATAATAAGCACTAGCAATATGGTTCCAACAGAGAGAAGTTAAATGTACACTATTAAACAAGGCCTGTAGCAAAGATTTTATTGATTTAATGATAAATAAAGGAAGTTAATTAAAGTGTTTGTTTTCCTGCTATAATTCTGCATTAAGTTCACATAAAAGATCATGATTCTAGAGTTTGGAATACAAAATTGTTTCACCCCTCAAGCTGGGAATATTTTTTAAATAAATACTATAATATAAGTATCAAATTATTACCTCCCACTTTGTGTTGAGATTTTAAAAATTAAATTGATAAAACTTTGTTTCCATTGTATTCATAATGTTCTGCTATATGTAACCTTAAAATGTTTATTAAAGAAGATAAACAGCTTTATCGTGAAATTTTACTATGCTGAAAGTGATTCCCTAACATAGCTATCAACTCTGTTCTTCTTCTTTTTTTTTTTTTTAATCCTCACCCGAGGACATTTTTCCATTTTTTAGTTCAGATAGAGCGGGAGGGAGAGAGAGGAAGAGAGAGAGAGAGGAACATCGACGTGAAGGGACACATCGAGTGGCTGCCACCCGCACGACCCCAACCGGGGCCGGGGACAAACTGCAACCGAGGTACGTGCCCTTAGCGGGAACCGAAACCGGGTCTCTCTGTAACGCAGGCCGACGCTCCAACCGCTGAGCCAAACCGGCCAGGACTCAACCCTGTTCTTTATGTATTCTTCCCGCTCCTCCCTTTTCACAGGCATAGCTGCCCGCCCACCGCAGCCCCGCCCACCGCAGCCCCGCCCGCCGCAGCCCCGCCCACTGCAGTCCCGCCCACCGCAGTCCCGCCCACCGCAGCCCCGCCCGCCGCAGCCCCGCCCACTGCAGTCCCGCCCACCGCAGCCCCGCCCGCCGCAGCCCCGCCCACTGCAGTCCCGCCCACCGCAGTCCCGCCCACCGCAGCCCCGCCCGCCGCAGCCCCGCCCACTGCAGTCCCGCCCACCGCAGCCCCGCCCACTGCAGTCCCGCCCACTGCAGTCCCGCCCACTGCAGTCCCGCCCACTGCAGTCCCCCCTGCTTGAGGCTCCGCGCAGCCCTTGGGGCCTCTGCTGCCCTCGCTTCCCCTGAGGGCCACGCCCGGCGCTGAGGCTGCCCGTCTGCAGGCGGCACAGCCTGCCCACAGCCCCGACACAGCTCGCCCGGTGCTTGGCACACAGCACGCGCAGGGAGCAAGATGCCACAGCCCGAGAAAGTGAGGAGGGCCGGCGGCGCACGCGCGGAGCGGCAGACGCTTCAAGGGGTGGTCAGCCCCGCAGCCCGGCAGGAACCGGAGCGGGGAGGGCAGGAGGCAGCCGGGCAGGAACCGTGCGGGGAGGGCAGGGGGCGGCCGGGCAGGAACCGTGCGGGGAGGGCAGGAGGCAGCCGGGCAGGAACCGTGCGGGGAGGCAGGGGGCAGCCGGGCAGGAACCGTGCGGGGAGGGCAGGGGGCGGCCGGGCAGGAACCGTGCGGGGAGGGCAGGGGGCGGCCGGGCAGGAACCGTGCGGGGAGGGCAGGGGGCGGCCGGGCAGGAACCGTGCGGGGAGGCAGGGGGCGGCCGGGCAGGAACCGTGCGGGGAGGGCAGGGGGCAGCCGGGCAGGAACCGTGCGGGGAGGGCAGGGGGCGGCCGGGCAGGAACCGTGCGGGGAGGGCAGGGGGCAGCCGGGCAGGAACCGTGCGGGGAGGGCAGGGGGCGGCTGGCGCGGCTCGGGGGAGGGCGTCAGCAGAGACAGGGCAGCTCTCTGCGCCACAAGGGGGTCCAGACACCTGCAGCGGAACAAGGCAGCTCTCAGGCTGCGAGAGAGAAATGACAGCGGGCTGTGCTTTAGGAAGACCTCCCTGGTGGCAGCGCAGCGCAGCTGGAGGTGGGGGCACCCTGGTGACAGAGTGGGGGACGCGGGGTTCCAGCAAGCGCGGGCGCCGGGGGCCAAGAGCGGCAGAAAGGAGGCAGAGCGGACGCAGAGCAGCCAGGGGTGGGGCGGGCAGAACCGGGACTGACTGGGTCAGGGATCAGAGACAGGATGGCTCTAGGACGCCCCGTTTCTGGGTTATCTGAGGATAAAGGAAGAGCAGCAGCAGCTTGAGGGAAAGCTTATGAAAGGCTCAGAAACGAAGAAACGTGGAGCCCTGGTGGTGGTGTAGGCTCCATTCAGAGCAGCAGGCAGACGGCAGCACCAGAGTTCACCGCCCGCACTCACCTCGGAATCACAGCTGCTGAAGCTGACTACAGCCGAGTTCTTGTCCACATCCAGTAGATCTATTGGAACATCGCTCTGCAGTGCACATGGAAAGAAAGGTCCAGATGGAAAACGAAAAAGTCTTTCAAAGCCTATTTTCTCTAAGGGTGTTCTTCATGTTCATCTTTAAATTTGAGAGCATGAATTTTCCTAATTTATATTTGATAATATGTAGTTCTAGAAAATAAATATACTAGAGAATAAATATTACAATGACCTATTTTTTCTAATTTGGAATATCAGAGGTCACAGAATATCCTCTCTTACTATCCCCTTAAAAGTATAATCTTCCTATCTACTTTTGTCATTGCTGTTAGCCACAGGCTGCGAATAATCATATGGCCACTGTGACTATATCAGTTCATTTTTTATCAATTTTAACTTCAGCTGTAACACAGAAAAAAGATAATTTTTGGTCTCCTCTGGAGAGGCAGGTGTTTTTTTTAAATTTTTCAATTATAGTATACATTCAATATTCTTCTGTATTATTTCAGGTGTACAGCATAGTAGCTAGACAGTCGTATACTTTACAAAGTGCTCCCCTTGATAATTCCAGTACCCACCTGGCACGGTACACAGTTACTACAATATTATAAACTGTATCTCCTATGCTGTACTTTACATCCCATGACTATTCTGAAACTACCAGTGTGTAGTTTTAACCCCTTCGCCTTTCCACCCCGCCCCTGCAAGGCAGTCCCAAGGACACGCTGTCGTGCTGAGGTCTATGTGAGTGGTGTTCCTACACCTTTCCACCCCGCCCCTGCAAGGCAGTCCCAAGGACACGCTGTTGTGCTGAGGTCTATGTGAGTGGTGTTCCTACAGTTTTCAAGGCAGCCGCCCCCAGCAAGCACTGGTTAGGAGAGATCTCTGCCTTTCAATTTTCATTAACAATCTGATCTTCTCCACCTTTTTAAATCTTGTCTTCTTCCTCCACTAGTCTTTTCTCGTTTTCTGATGATTTTTTTTCTATCATTTGCTTGTTTTCTGTTAATCATATTATCATCCTTTTCACTCTCAGAATATCTTCCAACTTAAAGAATAAAACTTCTATGCATATATGCATAAGCAATGGACACAAACAATAGTGTGGGGAAGGCAGGAAGGGGGCGGGATGGGAAGGAGGGGGTCCATGCGGGGGTGGGGGGGACATTTGTAATACATTCAACAATAAAGATAAGTTTAAAAAGTAAATAAGTTAGATAATCGATGAGCAAACTGATAATCTAATGGAAGACTAAGATGATTCTTTATTTTTTATTACAACTATCATTTTTATTTATTTATTTTTAATTAATTGTTTTTTTAATCCTCACCAAAGGACATTTTTCCATATTTTGTTCAGATAGAGTGGGAGGGAGAGAGAGAGAAACATCGATGTGAAAGGGACACATCGAGTGGCTGCCACCCGCATGACCCAACCAGGGCCGGGGACAAACTGCAACCGAGGTACGTGCCCTTAACGGGAACCGAACCCGGGTCTCTCTGGACCGCAGGCCGACACTCTAACCGCTAAGCCAAACCGGCCAGGGCTAATTAATTTATTTTTGTTACAGATGTTTCTCCTTTTCCCTCCATTGACAACCCCCTCCTGATCCTGCCCCCTCCCCCACTGCATTGTTGTTTATGTCCATTGGTCATGCATATATGCATATAAATTCTTTGGTTTATTTCTTCCCTTCCCACACCCCCCTCCTCTGTGGTTAGTCAATCTGAACCTACTTCTATGTCTCTCTGGGTCTATTTTGTTCATCAGCTTGTTTTGTTCATTATATTCCACAAATAAGTGATACTTGTCCTTCTCTGACTGGCTTATTTTGCTTGGCATAATACTCTCCAGGTCCCTCCATGTCATATCAAAGGATACGAGATCTTTCTTTAGAAAGAAAGATAAGCCTTTAAAAGTACTATCTAAACTAAAAACAACATTTAAAACCCCAAATTTAAAATTGCTGTCTGAAACTAAACATGTTCAGTAATAATTAGTGCATGTGACTGGTCAAACAACAAAGAAATCGCACACTTTGCTCACCTGTATTAAGACGTTATCAATCGCTGTCTGCACCTCTAAGATGAGGCTGTAGCTGGCATCATCTGTATTCAATGTAAACTTGTCGTTGATACTGAAAGAAGGTGCTGCTGATCTCGCCTTGCTGGACTGGGAAGCCTGCTGGTCCTTCTCCCTCTCCTGGAGCACCTTGTACTGCAGGTGCTCCAGCTCGCTCCTGGAGGGGAACACGCCGCCCCTGAGCAAGGGCAGGCGGGCAGCTTCCAGCGCCTGCCCCTCCTGCACTGAATGAAGCAACTTTGCCCGCCCCCGCTCCGAAGGAACCGTCAAACTGAATGGCCCACGGCCCACGGGAGCAGTCTCGGGAAGTCGGCGCCACTCGTGCGCCGTAGGAACAGTACACGCCAGTAGCTCAGAAAGGCCCCAGGCCAGGGGCTCGGGGCTCGGGAGGAAGAGCCATGTGGGCTGCCTTCCAATGCCTGTAAAACAGCAAAACACTACGACTGCCTGTAACTATACACATGGAAAAATAATTCTCCGTCTAAAAAAAAGGTCAATGTACAATAAAGCACACAAAAAAATATATTTCTAACTCCAAAATATTAATCGTCACTTACTACTAATTTTCTCAAAGTGAGAAACTTTCATTTAAAAAGTGATAAGCAGCCCTGGCCAGCGGTTGAGCATCAGCCTGTGGACCAGAGAGAGTCCCAGGTTCGGTTCCTGCTAGGGGCACGTATCACAAAAAACAAAGTGATAAACAACCGGCTGGTGTGGCTCAGTGGCTGAGCGTCGACCACGCACCAAGAGGTCCAGGTTCAATTCCAGGCAGGGCACATGCCCCAGTTTTGGGCTCGATTTCCAGTAGGGGCGGCAGGAGGCAGCCGATCCATGGTGACGCTTCTCTCTCATCGATGTTTCCATCTCTCTTTCCCTCTCCCTTCCTCTCTCTAAAAAATCAATAAAAACATTAAAAAATAATTTTAAAAGTGATAAAGTGTGTAATTCCTTCCACTATAATATACTGCATCTATAAATAATAAAAGAACCACCACACACTTCATGAAATGAAAAATAAAAAGGCAAACAAACATCCACAGTTACCGTAGAGAAGAAATTTTACTCTGCATCTCCTGATTAAGTTTGAGTTCTTCGCCTGGCCCACTCTCCCGGTGAACAGGCTCTGTCGTCAGACCCGTCACCCAGCCTGCAGGGATGAATTGCCATCACGCACCATTAAGCGCTGCAAGTGTCAAAAGAACCCAGTCCACCTGCCCTTTGTCCACCAACATCAACCTCACCCCTAGGACCTATTGCTTTTCCAAACCCAAACCCAAACCAAAACAAAAAGAAATTAAGCTGGAAAGTATTCAAATCACAAAGAAATTACTTAAGCATTTTGTGATACTACTTTTGCTTTGCCTGAAATACTATTATACTATGATTAAGAAAATCTTTCATTTAATTCAGTTTTAGTTTTCAAGTATGAAATAAGTTAACACTTTTAGCAAATGTAAAAATGGCTGATGAATAACTGTTTTTCAAAAACTATTTTCATGTTGAGTTATACTCCTGTATAATTATTGTGAGAATGCAAAAATGACCTACTCAAAAGCAAGCAAGATTTTATAAGATGTATATATTTCCTATATTAATGTATATTAAGTAACAAAACATAAACTAAATTTCTTTTTAAATAAAGGACTATCATTTAACTTTTAAAGATACTAGTGACATGTCAAGCATTCTTAAAAAGTATTATTTAAATATTAACTGTTTCATAAATCAATACACCCTTCTTTTTTTTTTTTAATCCTCACCCAAGGATATTTTTACATTTATCTTAAGACAGAGTGGGAGGGAGAGAGAGAGAAACACATCGACTGGTTGCCACCCACGGCCAGGGATGAACCACAACCGAGGTATGGGCCCTTGGCTGGAATTCAACCCAGGACTCTTTGGTCTGCGGATGCTCTAACCACTGAGAAAACCAGCCAGGGCAATACACCCTTCTTTTTTAACCAATAAGGTTTTTAGTACTATGGATAAGAGTGACTTACTACTTGGGGTAAAGAACACATAGTACAATATACAGATGATGTAATACAGAATTGTACACCCAAAACCTATATAATTTTGTTAACCATTGTCACTTCAATAAATTCAATAAAAAAGTAAAAATACATAAATAAAAATAAAAATAGCCTTGTTAGGTTTGGCTCAGTAGTTAAGAGCATTGGCCCTCAGACCGAAGGGTCTCAAGTTTGAGTCCCCGGTCAAGGGCATGTACCTGGGTTGCAGTTTCGCTCCCCAGCCACAGTCAGGGTCATGCGGGAGGCAACCAATCTGTGTCTCTCTCACATCAATGTTTCTCTCCCCACCGCCCCCACCTCCCTCCCTCCCTTGCACTCCAGCTAAAATCAACAGAAAGATATCCTCTGGTGAGGATTAACAAATAAATACATAAATAAATTTTGGGACTTATTAATAACACCTTTTTTTTAAAAGCTGTCAAAAGCAATTTATTAAATTCATATTTTTTACTATCACTTCTTTCTTCAACTATCTATCGCCATTTCCCTTACCCGAATACGTGGATAGTACAATTTCGTCATAGCCATCTTTCCCTACACAACCACCCTGGATAGATGTGACACTTTCAGACAGCACCTAAATCAATTTAAGATCAAGCACTTCATTAATAACTAAACATTTCAGATATGTTAAAATAAGCCACAAAAACTTATTTTTCTGTCTCCAGCCATTCAACACATGTTTACTGAACACTTATTATGAGTAGACACTGAGATTGGAAAAGCAAAAACTCTGCACAAATGTCAGAAAATTCCAATGCTTTTAAGTTTGGGGGAAGATTGAAAATAACTCATATATTTTTGTGTATCACTCAGCTATAATAGTTATCCAAAGAGCAAAAATCATTTATTAATATAAAAAATGTATTTTAAAAATTGCAGCCCTGGCCCGTTTGGCTCAGCAGTTGGAGCACTGGCCTGTGGACCAGAGAGTTCTGGGTTTGGTTCCCGCTAGGCCCTATTGGCGAGGGGCATGTACCAAATAAAAAAAAAAAAAAGAATTACTACATATTTTAAGCCTAAACTATTTTTGCATCATTAGCAAGAGGACTTTTTACACCAAAGTTAAGATGAACAAATATAAAATCTAGAAAGTAAGTTTTATAATATTTTTATCCCATATTACCTATATAATATACTTTATCTATACACTGAAACATCTGTATTTGCTGTCTGCAGTTAAAGCTGCGACTGGGAGGTACGACTAGGAACCGAGACAAAAGAAGAAAAGCTGATGCTGAGCTGTAGCACGAGGCAGGACGGGGGACCCTGGACTGGGGACCATCACTTCATGAAAAAGAAAGACTCAGTTTATACCAGGACCTTCTGCATGTGACTTTGTATCTTGAAATAAAAAGCTTAATTACATTTAAAATTTGTGAGCTAAGAATTACTCTTATCTAGCATCTCCTCTTACACAGTGGACCCTTGGTAAGCAGAAGCGAAACTGCTACTCTTCCTCTCTGCGTAAGGATAGTTTTTACACTGTCCTAACAAAATGAAGCTTAGTCCTGAAACCTTATTACTTTCAGCAGCGATGTTCCCCCGGCGCTGCGAGAATGTTTAAAACACGCACTACCTGACCCTTGGTCAGGGGCGCTGACCTTTTCCCTCACACTGTCCAGTGAAACTGTGACAACAGCTAACACAACAGGGGCCGTCTGGTGTGAAGAGATCAAAATCATACCTATCTTTTTTGCCAGATCAGCAAAAAACAAATTTTTTGGTGAGCTGCAGAATCTTAGTAATTAGTGTAAGTGCCCTGAGGTGCAAAAGGCTGAGATCGCTGCTCCACAGCACTCCCGTTTATGTGACCCAAATCTGTCACTCCCACCCTACTGTGCATTGCAGAAACCAAGGCGAATGCGTACTCCTTAGATGTACAAGATTCAGAAACCAAATTAAAGGTAACTATTCAGCTTGAAGGCAACAGTCTTACATTTAACCACAAGAGCAGTCCAGAGACCATTCCAAAGCATCAAAACAGCAATATTTTAAGCCAAACACAAGATTTTAATATATTTCATTTAATAAAACTCAAACCATCACACTCATCTATATAATTAATTACTTGATTAATAATAAACATACAGTCTTTTAAACTGAACTTAAAATGAACTTACTTGATCAAAGCGTAGAACAGGCTCATTTGCACTATCAAAACTATACACTTCCACCGTTCCGTCATCTCTTCCAACAAGCACATCTTTAACCCCATCACCCACAATGTCAAAGCTGTCAACACACAAAATTCCTTTAAAAAAATGATAAGTGATAAGTTATTAATAAAACTAATATTATAATCAAGTACATACCAAGTAAGAATAAAGAAATCAGAATGGGGAAAAAAACAAAAACTTTGAGCATAATCAGGTGTCCTTCTCTTTCCCATCCACATTCATCCACTTCCAAGGCTTTGAAGACAATCTACCCGCCTCCAAGTTCCCATCTCCAGCCCCGGCCTCTTCCCAGAGCCCCAGACTCATATCTCGAAGTCCCTTCTCAGCATCTTCTCTGCAACATCATTTGCACCTCGAACTCCCCGTGCCCCCTCTTCACCACACGCCAGCAACAATGCTCCTTCTCCAGTCCTCCTCATCTCGGTATGTTCCCACCCAGATGCTCAGGCCAAAACTTTAGATTGCAGCTCTGATTGCTCTCTCTGTCTCACTTTCACATCAAACCCAGGAGCAAATTCTACGAACTCTACCTCGAACGTTCCCATTGCAACCACCACTAGCCTAGTCCAGGCAACTGGTATCTTAAGCCTAGACCAGGAGAAATTATGTAACTACAACAATAATTTCCTGACTGCTATGCTTCCAATTTTGACCTGCTTCTTCAAAAATCCATTCTCCGTGGAGTGTTTTTGCATTGGTAAGTTAAATCATGTCGTACCCCACTTAAACTCTCCAGTGACTTGCCACTGCACTCAGATGAAACTTGAAACCCTTTCCAAGGCTCACAAGGACCTACCTGCCCCACCTCTGATTCCATCTCAGGCCACACTGGTCTTCAGAGCGCTTTTCAAATGAATCATGTTCACCTCGCCCTCAAGTCCTTTGCCCTTATTTTTTCCTATTCCTGGAACATCCCCCCCACCCAGTACACACACACACACATTATTGGTTAATTGTCACCCAAGGATATTTTTCCATTGATTTTTTAGACAGAGTGGAAGGGAGGGAGGGAAGGAGAGAGATCGATATGAAAGACACACAGAGGTTGGATGTCTCCTGCACAGCCCCGACCAGGGCAGGGATTGACCCTGCAACTCAGGCACGTGCCCTTGACCGGAAATGGAACCTGAGACCCTTCCGTCCTCAGGCTGACGCTCTAACCGCAGAGCCAAACCGGCCAGGGCTTTCCCCGATCTTTACATTACTAACTCTTTTTCTTATCAATCAGATCTGAGTTCAAATTTCACCTCCTATAAGACACCTTCCATGACCACACACTTAGTCTAAAAGAAGTCCTCCTCCGTCTACCCATCGTCATTCTCTGCTGCATTTTCTTCAGGTGGCTAGTTGAAGCCATCTTATCAGAATTGTTCACCCTTAGTCTCCCTAACAAATCAGTACCTGTTGAAGGGATAAATACATGAGTGAACATGCGTCCTCATAAACAGCCACCCTACTGCCTGCCGCGTCAGACATAAATTACCCTTAGAAAAGCACACCCCCCCGAGAGAACAGGGATGACGCCCTCATCCACCGCACTTGGCTCTTGCTTCAGACCAAGCCCTCCCAAATTCTAATCAATTCCCTACACCAAACAATGAAAAGTGGATTGAGCACAGAATGTCATAGGTGGACACTAGCCCCTAAGATCCTATCCATCCCAAATTACCACTTGTATTTCTTATTTTATTTATTTATTTATTTATTTATTTATTATTTATTTATTTTTATCCTCACCCGGGGACATTTTTGCACTTATCTTCAAATAGAGCAGGAGGGGGCGGGGGAGAGAGAGAGAGAGACATCAATGTGAGAGAGACACATCGAGTGGCTGCCACCCACACGACCCCAAACGGGGCCGGGAACAAACTGCAACTGAGGTACGTGCCCTGAGCAGGAACCGAACCCGGGACTCTCTGGTCTGCAGGTTGATGCTATAACCGCTGAGCCAAACCAGCTAGGGCGCATGCCTTATTTTAAAAGTTATGCCAAAGACAAGATAAGACCCGGTAAATGAACAACTAGGAAACAGCTGATGTGGCTCCGTGAACGGCCAAGTCTGCTACGTACACACTACGAGTGGAGGAGACAGAATGAACTATGCAATCTGGGATACTTTATTCAATAACGACCAACATTTCAGAACTAAACAACATCAGAAACATACCTCCCCTCTTTTTCTCATTTCGAATTTCCCACTTGTGTATTGGCTTGGATGCGGTGATCTGAACGAGCCCAAGTTTTCCATCTGACGTTCCAAACACAAGGTCTTCTCCAGAGTCACCTAGGCGCAGTGAAAGCCAACGCACATTTACCCCACGGCTCATCTCTTTAAATTAAATATTTTCATATGTACTGATTTCCATGTAAAAATCTCATTGAAAAAATAATACACAGACAGAAAACTTATTTTGGGAGGATGGTTATATGTTCACATACTTTTATAACCATTAGAAGTAAGACTCTTTCCTTATCATCTTTTAGATGAGAAAACTGAAAATTAAAGTTTAAGCATGCATTACTGTGAGTGACTGGCAGGTTGTCCGACAATAACCATCTCAGCTCCAGTTCATGTTCCCTCTACATTTCCCATTTTCACTGAATACACAGTTCAGCGACTCAGAATCTGAAACACCTTGACTGCACATAACGCACGCCCTCATGTGCCCGAGACAATGAAATGCTGGTTACCGCCGTTCCCGTTGTGCAGTGCTAAGACAGTGGGTGGGCCAGGAACTTCGATTTCGTAGACCACGTCCGATCCCTGAAGGAGAACAAGTGTTTTAAAACGGAAACAGAATACTAGTTTAAAATACAGGCACACAGAGATAACATTAGTACTCTTATAAAGAACTCTAGGATAAAACTGCAGAAAAAATCAGGTCATGAATATTAACTTGCATTTGTTAGCAATTTTACATGTGTTAACTCATTTTAAAATTAAAAAATAGATAGTAAAGATCAAGAAGATAAATATTTAAAATATTCTCCACTCTCAGTGCTTTTCACTGTAAACGCTCCGTCTGAAAACCAGGCACGGGTCATGCTCCTCCAAACCTCTCCAGGCACGTTTGCTGTCCTCTCTGACCCCGGGGCTTCTCACAGAGCACAGCCAGACACGTACGCAGACCCGAAGTCACTTCCTCAGAGTTTAGGCCTGGCTTCTGGGTACTTCCCAAACCCACCCCAGTGACAGGCAGGTTAACCTGCTATTCAGGTAAGGAAACAAGTTTGGTCACTTTTGTTGTTGTTTTCTTCCTATTTTGCCACTTGTCCTGCTTTTATTTAGTGCGCAGTATTTGTGAAACTTTCAAGAATGAGGCAGAAGTACTCATACATGGAAGGAACATCTATGATAAATCACTCAGTGAATGGAATTTGCAAAATTATGGTAAAAAATGTAAATACCTATAGAACATACAAGAGAGCCATATGCTTTATCTTCTATTTTAAATAACATTCAAAAATTGACAAAGACCTACATATAACTATACCAACACAAAGAACACACACAAGGGCTGCAAAGGGCCCCTCTGGGCAGCAGGCTGCCTGGCACGGCAGCTGGGCCGGGCGAAGTGTGCAGGGCACAGGAGAGACCGCAGCTTTCGGCTTTCTTAACCCGCAGTGATTTTTTTTTCTTTTTTTTTACAATAAGCATATGGAGCTCTTCTTGTAAGCAAAGCAGAACCCTTCAGCCCCACCAGTCTCTAGAATGGACCTTGAACACGAGTTAATTAACCTTAGGGGGGGAAAGCCTCACAGAACCACGGGGTTTCCTTTCGTAAAGGGCTGATGGCAAGCAAGGGCCCCTGGCCGCGGAGCCCCAGCGGCGGCAGGGATAGGCCTGGACTCCGCTCGGCGGCACTACCGCCCGCGTGTTTCTGAGCCAATTAGTCCACCTCTCATATGGAAAGTTACATAAAAAGGTTTTTATTAATTTTTAGAGAGGAAGGGAGAGAAAGGAAGAGAAACACGGATGTGAGAGCGGAGCACTGCCTGCCTCCGGCACGCGTCCTACCAGGGTCCAGCCCACAACCCGGGCATGTGCCCTGATCAGGAATCAAACCGGCAAACTTTCGGTGCACAGGACGATGCCCAACCAACGGAGCATGCTGTGGCCAGGGCTGGAGAGTTACTTTCAAGAAGACATAGTTTTAACTACTGTTACTAGTAACAATGGTTTTGAACAGTAGTTTTAGCCAATTATGGTTTTTAATTTTTCCCTCGTATCACTCACTCACTCATCTAACCAATAATTACTGTATGTTCTACATACTGTCATTAACAGTGGATAAACTCAAATGCTACAACCCCGATCTCAATGATCTCTTGCTAAACCAATGATCTCTTTCTGCAAACCAACGTTCTCCTTTCATTTCATTTGCTGGGAGAAGGGAGAGTGATGGAAAAAGAAAAAAAAAAATAAAAGAATAAAGGAAAAGGAAATCTGGGAGGGTTCTTTGTTGTTAAGTACTCCATTCTGATTGTAATTGGTCTTTGCCAAAGGTCTGAACACATTTGCCTGAAGTAAAAAACAATTCATTATCAATTAAAGTATTTTTTAAATAATGTCCAGATATAATTTAAAGTGGCAGTAATCACTAAAGCAGTTTACCTCAAGGAAACATTGTTCATTAATATTCATTTACCTAAATTATGAAAAATTATAAAAATGCAAATAATGGCGACCTGTAAGACCCTGAGAAGTCTGTCCTGGCAGGCCAGTACCGGTGTAACACGAGGTACCCTTTCCGCTGGAAGGCAGATGACATCATTGATTTTGTCCCCGGAGAGGTAATAGTGCTGGTCTTTGCAGTCGCAATAATGGTTATAGATGTAGCTCGCACTGAGGAAGAGGTCTGAGCCGGATATGTGCCTGAGAACATTAGAAGTACTTTAAAACATCCATATTTTAAAATCAAGCATTAAAAACTATTTTTTTAGACACAGAAATAAGTTTATTTGTAGTTTTATTATCATTTTATCAGACTTAATAAACATTTTTTGTTTTTTTTCATCCCCCCCAACTTAATTTCTAGCTTTTTGAAGTTGAAAATGAGGATCTTAACACCTCAGGCTTCTCAAAAATTAAGGTCAGAAAAACTGAAAACAAAGACAAGATAATAACTATCCATATCTGAAGACAAATAATAAGCAAAAAAGTAACTGTTCTTGAACGCTTACTATGTGCAAAGTATGGTCCTAAGTGACCTACATTAGCTCAGTCCCCAGAACGCTATGAACTAGGGACCATTATTACCCGCTTTCACAGGTGAAGGATAAGATGGCAGGTAACTTGCCTAATCACACAACTAGGACTCAGCGCAGTGGACGCAAGTCGAGCAGTTTCTAACTTTGAGAGCTAGCTTTCTTACTACAACACTGTATCACCTGGAAAAGGCTATCTGAAGTCAATCCACTTTAAATGATAAACAGTGGAGAAAATGCCTTCACTAGAATTTTATCTTGAGAAAATAAATGAAAACAAGTTCATTCCAAATTATATTTAATACAATTTAGGCAATAATCACAAGTATGTTCTAAATTGTAAGACTGAATTCAGTTTTCAGAGGAGCTGACGTTTCTTGACAAAAATTATATACTAGCGTGTACCTTTCACGTCTAATTGCTATTACCATGGGATCAGAGGTTATCGTAGTTTTATTTGAAGGTTTCACCGATTTTTCCACCTCTAAGGTATATTTAAATTTTTTTTGATACTAAGATTATTCCTTATCCTATAATGATCCTCATTGATTTTCTTTCTCTTCTGTAATTACTGTTCAGGTGGCCTTACTCCGTGACTGCATATTATTTCTTAATATTATTTCTATCAACCTAATAAAGTTCCGTATCTTTTTTCATGATTTGAAATTTCATTTTGAAATCCACCTGTATTGTATTTGCATTACATTGTCCAAGGTACGACTTCGCAATCACTACTGTTAACAAAAGTGAGACAGACGGAAACTTTAAGCAAGGAAGGATGTGTGAGTGGTTACCAATTTTATAAGTGTCAATTTCTTGACTGAATGTTTTCAAGTTAGAACCTTGTTTTCTTATGCAACCTTATAGAAATATGGAGATTCAGGTAATTTTTAAAAAATTAAGTAAACACCCTTTCATCCCACCTCTGCCACTCCAGTAAAAACATTTAAAAAACTAAACTCTTAGTTGCAAAATAGTGATGAGGACGTAAAGTACAGCACAGGGAGACAGTCGGTAATACTGTAATAACCATGTATGGTGCCAGGTGGCTACTGGAAATATCGGGGGGATCATTTTATAAAGTATATAATTGTCTAACCACTATGATGTACACCTGAAACAAATACAAAATAATATTGAATGTAAACTGTAATTGAAAAATAAAATTAAACACAAACTAGACTGCTTTTCATCCCAACTCTGTCCACATGCCTTTCTAAATGTGGAGATACACTAATAAATATTTGATTTTAGCATTTCACAGTTCTCACTGGCCATGTCTATCTGCAAAAGCATTTCGAAAGTGTTATATTTTTACTAAGCCCCTGAAAGCACTCTCCCTTGCCATTGTGAATTCTGAGCTAATCGCACCGAGCTCAAGTTTCCCAGCCCAGACAGCGGGCATGTGCAGAGACAGGAGCTGGGCATGCACCGAGCTCAAGTTTCCCAGCCCAGACAGCGGGCATGTGCAGAGACAGGAGCTGGGCATGCACCGAGCTCCGGACGAGTCGGTAGTTTCCAAACCAGCTTCCGGCTGCTTATACAACTTGGCTGCATCAGATTCGATGAACTTTCTTCTTTTAGCCCACTCCTAATTATTCGGATTCTGCAGCTACAATGCAGGACAAGGAATCTATTGATTCAAGCTTCCAAGGGATTCTCCTAAGTAGCAGGTTTGAGGAACAGTAGATGAGATGAACTTTAGAGCCCCTTCTGGCTCATGATTCAAAAACTAAAATATTAATTGCACAATCCCTCTTTCAGGAAGCCATTGAAGGAGCTATCTTTCACTTAGTCTTACCTGACTCACCTGAAATTATACTGTATTGATGGTCATCAACTTTCACGGCTAGCCTTCTAAGAAAACAATGCTGCCTTAAAACCAGAATATCAGAGACGGCAAAGAAACAGAAACTTAAATATCTAGAGATTGCCTTCACTTTTTTCTTTTATACCTATATCAATTCATAGTTGAACCAATCAGTCAAAAATAAATGTATAAATACTATAAAGGTCTTAACTTTTGTGAAAACTTTTCGGTAATCAATTCTAGGTCAAATTTAATTTCTGACTAATAAAATACCTTTGGTAAATTTTATTTCCCAGAAAACCTCTTACAGTATGATACTTAATCAAATGTTTGTCACCTTTGCAAAGTATTATAAATGTACATAGAAAAATAAAAAGAGAATAAACATACATAGCTTTAATGCTTTCAGTAAGGTTTGTTTCAAAAGAGAGGAACTGTTTCCCTCTTTTTGTGAAACCTCGAATCTCAGATCCTGCAGCGATAAAAATTTTCTCCTGGGGCATGTTAAGAAGGCCTCCTAGCTCCAGTCTGGCAACCTTCTGCCCTGGTAAAGTCTTGAACACTGCCTGCAAAAGCCATTGGGGGGAAATTAAGTAGACAAAGTTATTGTAAGCATTTTCCTTTACTGTAAAAATGCTGGAATTTTAAACTGACAAAAATACTATAGTTCTACTACATTGAAATACTTTTTAGATAAAAATGCATTTTCTTCTGTACGTCTCCTGGGTTTGTTTTGTTTTTTTTTCTAAATAAAAAACTTCAAACTTGGCAACTCAAAGTAGGGTTCACTAAGCAGCGGCATTACATCGCGCACTTTATCAAAAATGCAGAGTCTCGGGCCCAACACCAGATCTCCAGAATGAGAATCTGCATTTTCACAAGATTCCCTAGCTGGTTCCAATGGACATGTTTTACCCTTGCATCATCTTTTTAAAATGAATCTCTCCTGGTTTCTTTATAATTTTTATAAATTTCAGTAGTATAAATAAAGAACTATGTAATTTATGGCAAACCTTGACTTTATTTAATGGGAAACAACATTTGTATCATTAATTTCTTCCTACTTATTTTCCATTTTATTAATGTCATCAGATTCTTCTCCTCCCGTGAGTTTATACACAGAGAACAAATTATCCGAGAGGGTATATGAATAATGGAAATACTGAGTTTCTGATAGTTTTAACCCTCTTTATCTTTTTGTAAATTCCATATAAAGTGTAATAAATATAAGAGTTCCTATCTCAAACCCATTATTTATAAATTATGATCTGTGGATATGACATAATAATCACTCCCTTGATCAGGTTTCACGAAGTGGCAACGGTGATGGGACAGTCACGAACACGGTCCACTACGTATGGAAAACTCCATCTCAGAGATCGGACAGACCTTCCTGCTGGTCCGAGCAGGTCACCGTGCTGTGGGGCCTGGGGATGTGCCACACAGCAAGGAGTTGTGGGGCGTCCAGATGCTGAGAGTAGGCTCTGGCTGACAGACAGCAATAAAGTGGGGACCTCAGTCCTACAACAGCAAGGACCTGGATTCCGCCAACAGCCACGTGAGCTCGGAACAGGACTCTGAGCTCCGGAAGGAACAGAGCCTGGCTGACGTCTACACTGCAGCTATGCGAGGCTCTGAGCCCAGACTCCTCACCCACAGAAACCGTGAGATAATTAATGTGTGGTGTTTTAAACCCCCGAGTTTGAGGTAATTCATTACACAGCATAGAAAACTAGTAAGTCACCCGGGCTGCCCCAGATGTTTTACAAACAGCCGGCAAACGACCCTTGTGCTTCATACTTCATGGAACCATCTCCCTCACAACCCATTTCTCATTGTATTTTAGAAAGCTTTTAACTAGGATTATTCAATAAGTAGCATTTCCCTTTTAGAAATTCATTTTTCCCCTAAAAAAACAGCTATCCATACCACTGCTTCTCCTTTCTTCATGCCGAAGCACAAAACTACCCCATCATGATCTCCAACAACCACCTGCAATAGATTGAAGAGAATCTTAAATTACTATTAGTAGTATTATACCCTATTAACTATATAGAGAGAAAACAATATTCTCAATATATAAATTATTATTTTAAAAGCAGCAATCAGAAAACCGAAGACATCCCCACAAAAATTAATCCTCCAAAGAACTACAGGACAAGGTCAAAGAGAAGGTCACGTGGCGTCATTATGGAAGCAGCTGGCCGTACATTCTGTCCCTACAACGTAAACAAACAGAACCAGAGAATAGGGACACAAATGGCAGGGAGGTCATTTCTTTTTTCTTAACTGGAACATAAGAATATTTTAAGATTAATTTTCAAAACATTACCAAATAAAGTTGTTACTGACCTATTTGATATTTTTTAAACCTTTTAAATGGAAAAATGTTAGTATATGCAAAAGTAGACAAAACATTATAATGAATTTCTTCTATGTATTGGTTACCCAGCTTCAACATTGTTCAATTATACAATGTGGCCAATGAATTACTCTGAAATAAATAGAGGGGAAGATTTTAACATCTCTTTTTCAGAAACTGATAATCAAGAAGACAAAAAGTAAGAAAAAGATTAGAAAAACAATTACCTTTGATCTAACATATATGCATATATTTATATGTGTAAGAGTATTTGTGTGTGTAAATAAGTCACTCATCCCAAAAATCAAAGTATAAATGTTCTTTTTCAAGCACAAGGGAACATTAAAAAATTGGCCAAGTACTAGGATATAAAACAAGTCTCAAAGATAAAAATGTTGATATTGTGCAGACTTTGTTCTTAGAACACTGATTATGTTCACATTTTGAGATTCATGGATCTTGAAAAGATGAAAAAAGACATAGTCAAGGTTTTGATTTTTTGACAACACACTACTCCAATAATTTCTAAAACAATCTATTACAGGGATTCCCAAAGCATGGTTCCTAGACACCTGGAAGTCAACAAGAACCTTTTAGGAAATCTCCCCAGTCAACACTATTTTTCTAAGTAAGTCTTTATTTTCCTTTTTCACGAGGTTAATATTTGCAATGATGGTACAGCAATAATAATGGAAAACATTACCAATATCTAACAAGAAACAAAACAATGACACCAAACTATATCAGTAATCTGTACTCTTCATCACCATTTGAGAGTTAAGGGCAAAAAACCCAGTTTCATGTAAGAGTGTCCTTGCCCTGGCCGGTTTGGCTTAGCAGTTAGAACGTTGGCCTGCAGACTGAAGAAGTAATACACATTTTAATCGAATTAAATGCTGACCCTTGAGTATCTTTTCAATACTTCACGTGAGGAAACAGGAAGTATGCACCAAGCATTCTGTTGCACATCCATTCAGTCCAGAAGGAAAGCAGTGTCACTGCTTGAGTCATGAGCTGACCTACTTTTTCAAGAAGCACCATTTTCAAGAATGAAAGGACAACCAACAACTGTTGGTATTTACACATGAGTAAATGGACTTTTTTTTAAAAACCGAAGGAAGTGAGCTTGTTAGTTCAAAGGAAAACAACTGCCAGTATGTGCTAATATGGTGGAGTTGGAGCTTTCAAGTGACACCAGTGATTGGGAGACTTGTATCTGCCACAGTGAAGACTGACAGCTCACCACGTGCAGCTCTGACATGAGCAGCGACGTTGACAACTCTGATGTTTGATATTCTACAATAAAATGTGTCAGCACTTGGAAGGTCTGTGTAACTCAAATGAGCCAATAATCTCAAATGGCCATCACAGTACACTACAAATTCATACGGGAGTAAAAGATCCATTCAAAGTACAAGATAGACCAATTGATTTTAATGTGTCCAAGTATGAAAAATTAAACAATATGGCCCTGGCCAGTTTGGCTCAGCAGTTGGAGCGTCAGCCTGCGGTCCAGAGAGACCCGGGTTCGGTTCCCGCTAAGGGCGCGTACCTCGGTTGCAGTTTGTCCCCGGCCCTGGTTGGTCGTGCGGGTGGCAGCCACTCAATGTGTCTCTTTCGAATCGATGTTTCTCTCTCTCTTCCTCTCTCTCCCTCCCACTCTATCTGAAAAAAAAAAAAGGAAAAATGTCCTCGGGTGAGGATAAAAAATAAAAAAAACTTAAACAATATGGCTTGAGATTCCACTTTGCACCCAATGTTTAAGAAACTACTCCTTGTCAAATATAAATATAGCATCAACTATGAAGAGCCATGATTATCTGGAAATGCTAGTTACTTATTCCTCCCTATTTTCATCTGTGTATCTGTGTAAGCTAGATTTTCTTCATGTACTTCAACAAAAACAACACATCACAACAACCCAACATGAAAACAGACACGAGAATCCAGGTACCTTTGTTTACGCCAGACCAAATAATTTGTAAAATGTAACACAATGCCACTATTCTTGCTGAATTCTTTGTTTTTGAGAACATTTATTTTTCATAAAAAAATGTTATTTATGTAAGCATGTAATAGGTCTATTATTTTTAAAATAGCATAATAAATGTTTTAAACATTTCTTAGTTTGAATTTTATTTTCTTATTTTAGAAAAAGAATCCTGTCTTTAATATCATGTTAGATTCCTCTCTCTCTTTTTTTTAATCCTCACCCAAGAATATTTTTCCATTTATCTTCAGATAGAGTGGGAGGAAGGGAGGGAGAAAGAAACATTGATGTGAGAAACACACAATGACTGGCCGTCTCCTGCACGACCTTGATCAGGGCTGGGGAGCAAACTGCAACTGAGGTACATGCCCTTGACCAGAATCGAACCCATGACTCTTTGGTCCGCGGGCCAATATTCCAACCGCTGAGCCAAACTGGCCAGGACTCTTAGTTTGAATTTTAATACAGTAAGTATCGATAGCTATAACTACATAAACAAAAGTTCTTTGGGATCCTCAATAATTTAGGAGTGTAAAAGGATCCTGAGACCTAAAAGTTTGAGATATGCTGTTCCAGTAGACAGAATAAATGACAATTAGAAATCTGTTGATTTATCTTAAGAAAGTGAATATATCAAGACACTGTACTTACTTTGCAGCTTAAAATATCCTACTAGTCTACTAAGAAATTATAATTTTCTTGTCTCATAGGATCAGTATTTCTATAAAAATCAATATTGTCAGGTAAATATAAAGTTCAACATCAAAATCCTTTTAAAATATGATGAAGTTTCAAAAGGGCATTTTCTCTATATTCAACGGTGTTTTACATTCTTTTTTTCATATATATAATCTGGTGCACGCAAGTATACACAGAGTAAATTATTTCCAGAAAAATGAAATATAGTTTTTTTTGTTTTTTTGTTTGTTTTATCCTTACCCGAGGATATCCTTCTACTCTTTGTTCAGATAGAGTGGGAGGGGGAGAGAGAGAGAGAGAGAGAGAGAGAAACATCGACGTGAAAGGGACACATCGAGTGGCCGCCACCCGCACGACCAACCAGGGCCGGGGACAAACTGCAACCGAGGTATGTGCCCTTAGCGGGAACCGAACCCAGGTCTCTCTGGACCGCAGGCCAACGCTCTAACCGCTGAGCCAAACCGGCCAGGGCAAAATATAGTTTTAATAAGTTTGCTTATACTATTTACTAATTGTACATAATAATGATAATGTCCAGGAAAATTACTGTTTGTAAATGTCCCTTGGTAATCCAACCTGTGTTCAAATAAAGAACTTCATTTCCACTTTAACATTAGCATAAACCTCTACCAGAGCTATGGAGACTCACAGAAACGGAATCTCAACAGTACCTTTTGTGTAGCTCCATGTCTGGCGGCAGGAAGCAGCTTCATGGTCTTCTGAGAGGTCACCCCCACCTATGGAAACACACCAGCACCTGGTGATGGTCTCTCAACTGTTATCTGAGTCGCTACATCAGAGATCAGCAGGACCAGCAGATTGAGATCACAGTGAGTTTTATTTTTCATTGCAATACTTAGTGATATGAAGTAATTATTACTATCAGTGATGAACTCAGTATCTAATGAAAAAGTCAGAAAACAGAAAAGAACCCAAAACAGCAAAATGTACACTTGTCAAGCCAAAAAACAAACAAAATTGTGACATTACTAACAAGATATTTCATGAAAAAATATTTCTAGAAGCTTTCTTTTTATGAGTTCACATAGTTGTTAAAGAGTTTTTGTAAAGGGACTTAAAAATCTATAGAAACAGAGTAATTACTATAAATGCAACAAAGATTTTTGCAAACATCCTGATGGCAATGACTTCCAATACAACTGATGCTGAGGATGATTTTACAAAAGATGAAAACTAGGAGGCTTGTTCCTGGGGAACTGTCACTAGCGGAGCAGAGAGAGGTAGGGGAGGAGGACTGGGGTCAAGTTGGAGAAATCATGAGATAATTTAAACACAGTGAAGATCTATAATGTTACTCTGCATGCCAGGTACTGGTATTCAAGTTTAAAAGAATGTACTTAGCCTCGCAGTGTAACTCAGTGGACTGAGCATCATGCCAAGGGCTGCGTCCCTGGACTCCTGGTCAGGGCACAGGCCCGGGTTTCGGGCTCGATCCCCAGTAGGGGGCATGCAGGAGGCAGCCAATTGATGTGTCTGCTTCTCTCTCACATCGATGTTTCTATCCCTCTCTCCCTTCCTCTCTGTCTAAAAAATCAATAAAAACATATTTAAAAATTTTTACACACACGCACGCACGCACATAGATGCAGTACTTGGATTTGGATTTTGAGACATCAATCTAGCAAGGGACGTGAAGGACAGCCTGGAGGGAGGTGGGCTGGAGTCTGGGAGCCCAACCAGGAGGCTGCTGCAAGGACCCGAACACGGGGGACAGGGGAGGCGAGAAAATGGGCCGGAGTCAGGACGCGTTTGGGAGATGAGCGCAGCCAGCCGCGGTGAGCAGCTGGAGACCCGCAAGAGCACGGTGCGGAGCGCTCGGCACGACTCCCAGGGCACCGGCCGGGCAAACACGTGAGCCACTGGCCAGCGGGCTCGCCGATCGGGGGACGAGGAGCCGGCGGAGGAGCAGAGGGGCGGGCGGCGCTGTTTCCACCACCAAGGTCCTCCTCCGGGCCCTGGGTCCTCCTCCGGCCCAGGGCCTGCTTCCACGGGCCCGTATTTGTGCGCTGAGGTCTGGCCGCAGGGGCCTGGCTTCCAGTAAGGAATGAGGGGCGCTCCGGGGAGCGGCTGGGGGAGGACGGGGATTCGGGCCCGAGGGAGGAGGGGCGCGTGGGGCCCGAGGCGCCGGCGCCTCTCCGAGTCCCTGTGGACCGTCTCGGAGAGCCGGGGCGGCCCGGGAGGAGGGCGGCCCGAGGGCAGCCCCGGCCCGCAGCTCGCCGCCAGCCCCGCTCCCCGGGCCGCGCCGACCTGGGACGGCCGACCGCAGCCTCTCGGGCCCGGCCCGCCCCGCCCCTCGGGTTTACCTGTAAGTAATCCGCTCGGTGCAGGTGCAGGTCCATGACGGCGGACGGCCGCGCCGGCCGGGGCAGGACGGACGGAGGCTGGCGGGCCCCAGGCCTCCGAGGGGAACCTGGCCGCGTCTCCTCGAAGGTGCGCCCCCAGCTCCAGCCGCCCCGGCGGGGATGCAAACGCGGGGTGTCGGGGCAGCGGCGTCCGGCGTGACGTCAATACGTTCACGCGAGTGGTCCATGGGCGAAGGAAGCCCCGCCCCTCTCCCGACCTGCTCCAATCAGCGGCGGACAGGGCCTGAGCGCGAGCAGAGTGGTTTCCAGGGAGACCGGAGACCCAGCCTTGGCCCCACCCCCACCGCCGCCCTGAGACTCACTTCTCAAGCTTTTGGGGTGAAAGGATTGAGGTGATGAAGACGCGTCGGTTCGGACCAATTTCTCTGACACTGGAAAGGACCCCTCAACGGATCAAGTTCCACCGTTATAGGCGTTAGCTTTTAGCAGCAGTTCTCAAACTTGGGCCTGGGGATCCCTGTACACTATGCCTACAAACTTTTGAGGACCCCACAGACCTATTGTTTATATGTTATCTGTTGATAGTTACCGAATCAGAAATTAGAACTGAACATTTAAAAAATGTGTTAAAAATCAAATCAGTAGATAAATATTTTAGTGGAAAACCATATTTTCCAAAATAAACATAAAAAGACTAGCATTGTTTGCAAATCTATTTACTGTTGATCGCGATAGTAAACAGGGGAGTCCCAATTCTACTTCTGCGTTCGATTTATTGGTGAATGTGTGGAGTTTTTTTAAAACTGTCAACCTCAGATGGTGGTTACAAATTTTATAAAACTTGAATTTGTACATAAAGGCTCAATCTTAAGCATTGGTAACAAATGTCAATCACTTTCTTTGAAATGATAGATTCCCCTCTTCGATTCACAAGAAAGTGCATGCCAAATATCCACGTCTGAATAGCTTTACTTTGTTAACGGTGCTTTTAAAAAAAAGAAAGTATTCCATGAAAAAAGCAGTGAGTTCAGCTAGCAACCCAAAATAATCACGCCATTGCTCTTCCTTGAGACAACTCAGGTACTTTGGTATTTAGTAGAAATGCTTTATGCATACTTCCCGTATCATCACCCAGAATATTTAAAAAGACTCTCAAGAGGGAAGACATAAAAGTAACAATGTTTACTGCTTCATAATGAACATTTTTATATGAAACTTTTGTTTCCTGCCAATGTGGGCATGAAGACCACAGCGATCACTGCTGCAGTTCGAAGCCACCACTTTGACTCGTGCTTAGGAACCAGCAGTATTGCCCTGGTGGGTTTGGCTCAGCGGATGGAGCGTCTGGGGTTTGGTTCCCGCCAGGGGCACGTACCAACCTCCATGGCTCTTGTATCCTCAGCGCAAATGTCAACACAGTGAAAATACGTAGTTTCAAAACCACAGACCCCTGAAAAGGCCTCAGGGACCCCAGACTACTGCTGACCTACGGTGACACAGGGTCTGACCTAGAGCTGACATTCCTTGACTCCTGTCCATCAGTCTTTCTTTAGTGCACACAGTGTGCTCTGCCTACAGAAGTACTGTAGGTGAGTAAGACACTGTCCCTTTCCCAGTTTATGTGGTCTACTAGGGAAGAGTCCACAAATGGTTGTGAATCAATCGTTAAACACCTGAGAAGACTTGCTTCTTAGCATATAAATGATTTCCAACAGAACGATCTGAGGTTTTGCCCAGGTTCCAAGTTGTTCCAAACGATTATTTTTCTGAGGCTAAAATAACCATATTGAAATAAACAGCCCTGGCCGGTTTGGCTCAGCAGTTAGCGCGTTGGCCCGGGTTCGGTTCCCGCTAAGGGCATGTACCTCGGTTGCAGTTTGTCCCCGGCCCTGGTTGGGTTGTGCGGGTGGCAACCACTCGATGTGTCCCTTACATGTCGATGTTTCTCTCTTTCTCTCTCTCTCTCTCTCTCTCCCACTCTATCTGAACAAAAAATGAAAAAATGTCCTCGAGTGAGGATAAACAAAAAAAAAATAAACAGTGATGCCTTGAGATGGCTCAGCTGTGTAGCAATTTGGGGAAATCTATATTAATTCAGACTACACAAAAATACAGATAAATCTTAGAAATTGAAAAATAGCCACAGAGAAATAGGATAAAACAATGTATAGAATTTTATAGAATTTAGGGGGCTGGGAGGTGTATAGGAAAGTTAGGGCCACCATAAAGTACCACCAGCTAGGGGTTTGAACAACAGAAATGTATTTTCTTACAGGATCTACTGGCTAGGAGTACAGATCAAGGTGTCGGCAGGAAATCAAACCAGTCTCCTGAAGCAGCTCTCCTTGGCCATCTCTAAACTGTATCCTCACAAGGTCTTCCCTCTGTGCCTCTGTCCTAATCTTTTTTTCTGATGACACCTGTCATATCAGATTTAGCCCCACTCTAACGACTTCATTTTAATTTCATTATCTCCTAAATCCCCATCTCTAAATACAGACACATTCTGAGGTCCTGGGAGCTAGGCTTTCAACATATGAATTTGGTGTGTGTGGGGGGGTGAGGGGGACACAAGCCCATAATGGAAAGGAAATTGTCTGATCTGTGCTGAGAGTTCTATAGCTGTGGGAGGCATGGATTTTTTAAAAATGCGACAAGCTTTATCTTTATTCAAGACACCACAGACCCTAGGCTGAATGTCTCCAGCTGAATCGGACACGTTTGCCTTTAACATTTTCCCAACCCCCAATCAGAAACATTACTACATACTCCATTCAAAAACATCCACACTTGGAACCCTAGACAAAGCTGTAAGACAGAGAGTATTGCCTATTATGGAAACTCCACATCTTTCCTGTTGTAACATAGTAGAGTAACATATAACAATGAAAGAATTCAGTATTTTATTCAGTTCTGAGGCATAACATAAAATACATAATGTTTGAAAAATGTTTAAGACAAAGTACTATTAGAATAACACAAAAGTTAATGAAATACTCTACAATGGTAGCAAAAATGTATAACGTTGTTTTCTTCATTTGACGTCCCAAGAAGTAGAAATGAAGAAATCTTCTTTAACGAGCTTTTCGTAGTTCCATTTAATGTTCACCTTTGTCTTCATGTCTAGAAAGCCTTGCTGTGTGAGAGCAATGCTTTTTAGAGTATCATGTATGTAACTGGTGTTTGGGGCTGATAAAACTGCTGTTGAGGTGTGATCACAATTCATACTCCTCTAGGACTTGATGGGGAGAGACGGAGGAGAATCGGGATGTTAAGCAAAACTCTATGAGACATTTAAAACTACCTGGATGGAAAAAAATACTTCGAGTGTTTTATGGTCTGTGAAGAGACCACAGAACTTACTGGCCTGTCTCCCCTTTTCTATTAAAGTCATGAAGCATTGTAGATATTGCCAGGATTCGGCTCAGTTACATAATATGTCAAGTACAGGTACATCACAATCTGTTTTGTGTGGAAAGTGTAACCGGATTGCTTTGATCAGAAAAGGGATGTCTATCAATCATTGTAAGCAATGGCCAAGAGAGACCTCAAGGGGGAATGAAATCCACTTGGTGATGCTTGGCCACGCCCCTCCAGGTGCACAGCCACTGCTCTGGCCGTTTCTCCCCCTAAGCAAGCCCCCCAAAGCTCAGAAAGGGGCAAATGGGCAGACAGGGAGTCAGCCCTCGGAAACTTGAACATCAGGAGGTATAACAAAATAACAACCTTAACAGAGCCCCCTTAAAAATAACTCACCATCCCACTGGCTACATTCACATGACTGAAAAACAACAAACGAAAACCTAAGGCAGAAAACAAACAGTGCATACTTTAGAAAAATCTTTAATGTGTTGCTTTGAACAATTCTATGAAACATAAATATGTTACATAATTATATTTTCTATTAACTCATTTCATTGTTAAATTCTTCCTTTAGGACTCAAAGGATCTAGGATTCAGTGATGCCCAAAACTCTAGGAAAATCTGACCGAGTCATGGCGGCTTGTAAAATGTCCTTCCAATTCTATTTTGTAAAAAACCCCGTCAGCACTTGGACAAAGAAGGTGTGCCACACAGTGATGGCCTTTTGATTGTATTTGTAGTTTGTTGGCAGTTCAGTTCAGGTGGTTTCAACATTTACTGAGCACCTACTTTGTACCAGGCACTGTACTAGATGCTTGAGACACAAAGATGAGTAAGACATAGCCCCTGTCCCCAAGGAGCTTACTTACAGTCTCTTGGAGGCCAACAGATAGTGCAAAGATGTAGCAGAGTTCATTCTAAAATGGACAAAGATGGCAGTAATTGAGCCTTTAAATACAATGGGGTGTCCTTGTTGGTAATGTCAAGGCAGAAAATTAAAATGGCCATTTGCATGGAACAAAACAGTAAAATCATTAAGACCTAAGTTTTAAAGATTCACATAATAAAGGTAGTTAAGACTAAAAATGCACGTGGTTTTTCAAGTATGTCATTACAAGAATAGAAATATTCTCGCCCACACTTGTGCTCCAGCCCGGGCCACCTCCCCGTTACCCGGTCATTCAGACGTCTGCGTGCTGGGGCCCAGCTTCTCGCTGAGCTTGTGGATCAGCAGGGCGAGCTCTTCAGTCGCCTGGCTCTTGTCCTCCAGGAGTTCGTAACGGAGGCTGGAGATATCCTGCTTGATTTCTTTTAATTCACCTAAAGTATTTGTATTAAAATATACACATATATATATATATATTTGGTCATTTGCCTCATAATGTCACAAAGGTAGACTTTTTTCCCCCCTTTAAAACGATTAAGAAATGTCTGTTTGAAAAATATAATGACCTTCTAAAAAAGCTATAAAAATAGTCCAGCTCTGTTTTTAATAGTAAAACTCAAAGGATTGTCCTGTGGCTCAGTCAACTTTCAACGCAGGGTGATGTCTCTGTCCACAAAGCAGGGGTCTCCTTTCTGTCTGTAGGAAGTCCCGTGGGTTCCCTCCCACATCCATGTCTCTCTCTCTCCCCCTCCCCCCTTCTACTCCAAAAGTCAATAGAAAAATATCCTCGGGAGCCAACTAACAACAACAACATAAGTAAGTAAGTAAGTAAATAAATAAAATATCATTTCTATATTCTT